TCTAAATTCTTGAGAGGTTTTGATGAGCCCTGCTTGGGCAATGTTCACCCTTGGTCCAAACTCCAAGGATGGTAGAGTCACTTATTACACAGGGCTTTCCTTCTTTTGGGTTGTTGTTGGTCAAGTTCTCTAAGAGAGGTTTGGGCAGGGAGAATCTTGTGGAGAATATAAAGGAAATAAAGATATGATCCTAGTCTTTAGGGAACTTAATATCAAAGACTCAGAGCCTGCTGGGCCTCATTAATAGAATTCTGACTCCTTTTGAGTTTATGTAATTGAATACTGCAGAAAATATAGATGAAGTTAGCCCAACACAGGTTTACAGCAATAAGGTTCTGACTTACTGAAGACCTGAACTTTCTTACAGATTAAAACTTAACATAGTGGATTGTCGTATTTATGGAGTACTTTGTGTATCCTTAATGCTTTGCACACATTTTGTTTTAGTCTCTTCACTGAGAAACTCTATTGACAGTTATTATGACCATTTACTTTAGTCTCTGACATATTAAGAAACCTTGCAAAATACCCACAGTAGTAAATAGAGATTCAAAGTAGAGTTTACTAATCCAGAGTCCATGTTTTTTGTAGTAATAATACTAAGCTGTCTCCCTAACCAGAGCAATAAGAAATTTACCTTTAGTTAGAACTAAATCCATCTCGAATCCTGGCACCTCTAAGGGCATTAGAGCAATGCAGAAACCTGACGTGTTAAAGGCAAATGATCTGGCTTTCTTTGGTATGGCATAACCTAGGAAGGAGTAATCATTCCACCACTTAGGTTACATGTTGTAGCACAATCGATGTACCACCATACAGGACTAATTTCTCAGGGACTGCACAAGACCTTATAAACCCTTCCTAGATGCCAAGCATTAATCTCATTGTTAATAAGACCTCTAGTATAGACTGTTGAAGAAAGGAAAGGTCAACAAAAGGACAACCACATTGTATTTGAGTTTTTAGAAAGTAAACTCAGGAATCCCTAGGTTTTCTTTTGTTTCCTATATATCTCAGCCAGGGTCCTGGAGAACCTACAAATTGGAACTACCAATGGTGCAGCCAAAAAAGACCTCCATAATGAGTGTTCACACAGCCAAGGAACTAGAAGAAGAACAAGATAGCAGAATAGAAAATGTTTTTTGCAATACCAACCCTACTGCAGCCAAACACCTCCATTATGGTGTCTATGGGACTGAGTAGGGAGTTAAACTTTGATCCCTGAACCAATGCTGGAATCTGATTCTCCCACTAGGGTGGTATTCACAAGGTCAGTGGTAGCAAGCAGTATTCTAATTCCACTACCGCTAGGGTAGTGTCAGCATGACCAAGCTAGGAGCTGAGAGCTTCCACCCCTTATAAGCTAGGAAGCAAAAGGAGGTGGTTGAAGCTGATACAAGTCAGCACTTTTTTTCCTATTTTCCCTTGTGTTGGAAAGCCCAGAGGCTTGCCGAACTGCTTCCTCTACCAGGCCGCAAATAGATGGAATGAAGTGGGCATATTGGCTGTCCACTTTTTCCATTCTTACCATCTTTCCATCCCTAGTTTAAGTAGAGTTCATCAGAGAACGGAAGTTCAACACCCACCCAGTAGCAAGAGGTGAAAGGGTGGTGTTAGTGGCACTCTAGTCTCCCCTCTGCTGTCATGGGGCCCAGAAGGGGACTGAACTTTAAACCTAGCAGCAATGAGATAGTACTCGTTGGTATCATAGGAGCCAGGATTGTCATAGGACCATTGGGGAGCCGAAAATCCACCCCCTACCTGACCTGAGCAGTACACCTAAAAAAGGTGAATTCTTGTCAAAAAAGAAAAAGGTTAAGTAGCATGCAGAGTCTAACAACAAAAATGTACAAGATATAATTGAAAATAATTCACCAATCTAAGAACCAGGAAAATCGCAACTTTAATGAGAAAAGACAATTAGCAGATGCCAACAATGAAGATCACAATAAACTGGAAAATTCTGAAACAGATGGGAATACCAGACCACCTGACCTGCCTCTTGAGAAATCTGTATGCAGGTCAGGAAGCAACAGTTAGATCTATGGTTTTTCCAGTAGTCATGTATGGATGTGAGAGTTGGACTATAAAGAAAGCTGAGTGCCAAAGAATTGATGCTTTTTGAACTGTGGTGTTGGAGAAGACACTTGAGAGTCCCTTGGACTGCAAGGAGATCCAACCAGTTCATGCTAAAGGAGATCAGTCCTGGGTGTTCATTGGAATGACTGATGTTGAAGCTGAAACTCCAATACTTTGGCCACGTGATGCAGAGAGCTGACTCATTGGAAAAGACCCTGATGCTGGGAAAGATTGGGGGCAGGAGAAGGGGACAACAGAGGATGAGATGGTTGGATGGCATCACCGACACAATGGACATGGGTTTGGGTGGACTACGGAAGTTTGTGGTGGACAGGGAGGCCTGGCATGCTGTGGTTCATGGGGTCACAAAGAGCTGGACACGACTGATTGTCTGAACTGAACTGAATAATGAGATGATTCAGATATTGGAATTCTCTGACAATGACTGTAAAACAGCAGTTGTAAAAATATTTTAACTAGCAATTACACACATTCTTGAAACAAAAAGTAGAAACCATCAGCAAAGAAATAAAGCTATTAAAAAATTATGAAACTGAAAATTACAGTAAATGACACAAAACTCACTAGATGTGCTCAACAGTTGACTAGAGATGACAGGGTAAAGAATCAGTAAAACAGATTAATCTTAGCTATCCTGTCAACAATAGCAAATGAACAGAGACTCAGGGGCATGTGGGACAAGAAAAAAAAAGATCTAACATTTATGTCATGAGAGCCCCAGAAGCAGAGGAGAAAGAGAGTAGGGCTGAAAAATTATTGAAAGAAATAGTCAAAGGATGAAAAATTTTCAAGTTCAATGAAAGACACTAATCTACAGATTCAAAAAGATTAGGGAATCACAAAAAGGATAAACTAAAAGAAAAAATTCAAGCCATGACACATCATTAACCAAACTTCAAAAAACCAGAAAAAAAGAAAAAGAAAAAAAACAAATCTTGAAAGCAGTTGCAGAGAAAATGACACATTGTCTATAATGGAAAAATGGTTCAAATGACAGCAGATCTTTTGACATGTTAAGTTGGTTATGTGAAGTGATTCTACCCAGGCTGTGCAGCTCAAACCTCATGACTGCAGCGTCTGCTCCCTGGATAGCAGTTTTTTTAAACCTGAAACCAAAAATAAAGTAGTACAACATTTTCAAAGTGCTGAAAAAAAAAAAAAAACAAAACTGTTAATTTTACATCTATATATAGGGAAAATATGCTTCAGGAATGAAGAGCAAATAAAGGCATTCTTAAATGAAGAAAAACTAAGAAAATTTGTCACCAGCAGACTCACCAGTAGTGAATGACTCAGAAGTTCTGTAAACAGAGAGGAAATGATGACCAAAGGAAGCTTTAAGATATAGTTGAGTTTGAGGATGACTGAGTTACCCCAGCTAAAATAAAATGGAGATCTTTGTTACCTTAAAAAGGTGTCAAAGAATTGGTGTTAATGTTTATGTCTATGGATGTGGAAGACTCCCAACATATATACTTCTATAGCCTTATCTCCCACTACTTCTATGCACACACTCTGCTCCACACAAATTAGGCTACTCATCATTTCCCCAATGTTGTGTTTTCCTGCCTCTTCACCTCTGCTTGTGTTGGAAACTTGTTACCTGGAATGCTCTCTTATCCCTCACTTCCATGTCCAAATTCTAGTTACCTTCAAAATGAAGCCTAAAATGATATCTAGTCCATGATTCCTTCCTCAATTCCTGTGGCCAGAAGTAAACTCTCCTTATGAATTTTTGTAACATTTTGTAATTTCCTTGGCATAGGTGACATTTGTCTTCAGTAAACAGGACTGAAATACTGCACATGAAAAGCAAATTTCTAAACAAATGAAACTTATTACACTAGTTTTTATTTACATGATAGCTATTTATGTATATGCCTTCTCTTCCTTCTGCAGGCTCCTTAAGAGTAAGGACTCTATTCCCATTTAGTTCTCCCATAGCTTCTGATATTATGTCTCTCAGGTTTAAAAAAAAACAAAAAAAAAGGTCCATTATATTGAATTAAGCCATGGAAGCAAAAGGATTCAGGAAAACTTACATAGAAATTATCAGAACCCAAGTTTCCATGTGCTTCCTTTAGGTAAAAAAATTCTTTTTTCATTTTAGTTTTATCTAATTGTAATGAAGAATGTATAATTAAATCACACTCTCCTGGTTTTCCTTTTTCTTCATAAATCACCCATTCTCATAATCTTCTGGATCCTCCTCTTCTAGATCTCTAAGGCTGTAAAACTCCAGGAGTACTCCTTGAAGCCCTTCAGTATAACATTTATTATAACATTCTCTATGACATTTAGGCTATCTCCTCCCATGGCACGCCTTTAAATACCATTTATATGCTGATGACTTTCAAGTTTACATACCCAGCCCCAGTTGGATACCCTTTGGGATCTGAAGTTCAACATGCACAAAACTCGTAGTTACTTAATACCCCAAATCAGTTTTTACCCTAGTCTTTCCTAGTCACAGAAAATTGCACCATCATTCATCCTCATTACTTGAGCCTTCAAATCTGTCAGAATTTCTTTCTCTCTTTCAAATCATGTATGTAGACCATACTCAATTCATGTCTGTCCTTCCTTAATGATAAATTCCAAGTCAAACCACTTCTCTCCACCTCCACTGCTACCACCTTGTCCAAATAACAATCATGTTTTACTCAGACTCTCTTTGTTTCCACTATTTCCTACTTACAGGCAATTCTGTGCTTAGCAACCAGTGAGCTGAGAGAATCAGATTATGTCACTCCCATGTTCTGAACCTCCAATGGTTTCACATGGGACTTAGAATAGCATCATAATGTCTTACCATGGCTACAAAGCCTCACATGATCTGGCCCTAGCTTCCTGGGACGGCATCCTCTACCTGTTCATACTTGACTGACTTACTCCAGTCCTGTCGTACTGTCCATATTGCTCTTCCTCAATACTCATGACTTTCTCAAGCCCCATGTAGTCTCTAAGACAGCCAGTCAAGATAAGTGAGGTAAGCTTGCACACAGGTATAGCAGATTATTCATCTTTTTTTCCCCTAACACCTAGATGAATGGAATAAGTCAAACTCAAAAATGAATTTTAAAAAACTCTAAATTTTTGAGGTTTAACCAACATGTGTTTAAAACGTAAACCTATATTGTAATATAGTTGCTTAAAACATCTAATATTACCTAAGGCTGCATAAAACAGAAGTGTATTGTTGGGAGAAAGGCAGATTCTAGTTCTTCTGGTCTGACCTCTTCTGGAATGTTGTACATATTTGGCTTCAGATAACACACATTAAGAGGGATTCTTATCTACCATTGAATTTCAAGCAAAGGATATTTTTCAGAATTGGAAAAACAGTTGTGAAAGGACTGAACTAGGCTCTGTGAAGAGCCATGAAATAAACTAAAAACCTTCAGTTTGATGAATACTTAATGACTGTGGAGATGACATGAAAATTCTCCCCAAATAGCAAAAAGTCTGCCGCATAAAAGAGGGGTTTATGCTTATTCTTGTTAGCCATAATGGAAAGAACCAATGGTAATGGGTTTCAAAGAAAAAAGCTTTTACTTCAGCACAGGGAAGAATTGCCTGCCAGTTTTTCCCAAGTCCATGTTCTGCAGAACACATTTAGCTCATTAAGGCTAAATGAGCGTTTTATGTCTTTACTGAAGCATTTCTTAGAATCTTTAATATAATCTTTAATAAGTCTTAAGAAGAGGATATCATATGCTTCATTTCCAAAATTTATTTAACCATAGAAACTTTTATTCACAGAGCACTGTTAATATCTTTTGAGACAGTAGTTCATAGAATAGGTGAAGTTAAAGCTGCTTCAAAAATGAACAGATTATCTTCTGAAGAAGCACAGTCAAGTTCACAATAATGTATCTGTCGAAAATGGATAGTGTTGCTTTCACTTCGGTATTTCTGAAAACTCGGTAACTGAAATTAGAGTACTAAAGCCTGGGAAACTGGAGCAACTTGCTTTGTTTTGTTTATAATGTGACTGACTCAAAACAGTTCTAGATGAGAATAATGCAGCAAAACCAATGGAAATGTTTGAACTTGTCCCCCAGCAATACACAGTAGAGCCATGATATTCCCATGTCTTTCCACTGAGTCATTCATTGTGTGTAAGGTAATATTTCTCAACTTTTTTCACCAACACAGCAACAAGCAAACAAAACCCTGTCATATTCTACCACTCTAACCCCCAGATTTTGTTAGAATCCTGATATGCGACCATGCCCTTCATTGAGCATTGCCATTTTAGAAGCTCAAACGTAGAGTGTTAAGATAACTTAAAAAAAAAAAAAAAGTCATTTAAAATTTGTCAAAACAGTAAAAGTTATCAAAACTGATCCACTGCTTTGAGGCCAAAGGAAGTACTAATAAAATGGAAGTGAAAGTGAAAGTCGCTCAGTTGTGTCTGACTCTTTGCAACCCCATGGACTATACAGTTCATGGAATTCTCCAGGCCAGAATACTGGTGTGGGTAGTCTTACCTTCTCAAGGGGATCTTCCAGGGATTGAACCCAGGTCTCCCACATTGCAGGTGGATTCTTTACCAGTTGAGCCAAATACTGTTGTTATTAAATACTTGTTGCAACAAGCAAGCAATGTGATAATAAGGAAAACCTCACCTAACAACACTGAAAAGACAGAGTTGGAAAGTTATAATTAGTGTCTTCTATACAGTTGTCCACAGAAGGGTATGATCTAGGGCTGAAACAATGTAGTACCTAAGAAGAGTGTACACAAGAAGACTGGCTTATCAGGACTTCCACAGTTTATACTTGTTCTGTTTTCCAGAACCATGTTTATTCTCTTTAATTTGGTTTCCAAGGATGTATCAGTACTGAGAAAGGGCATTTGGGTTAGTAGATAAAAGACTAATTATCAGAAAGATATATCATCTCCTATGTGTTATTAAAATTTAATTTTTCTCCTACTATCTATACTGAAAAATTTACTAAGGTCTTATCAGACCTAGATAGCTGACAAAGCAGGTCCTGGACCAGATCACACCAGACATACCAATTCTTGAAGTTCTTGTAAGCAGTACAATTACACTGCTAATGAAGAACATTAAAATATCATTTCTCTGTTAATTCTGCAATTTTTCCCCTGAATCAGCACTTCAGAGAGTGGGACAATCAGTTCTAAATAGCAGGTAAAAGAATTTCTACATAACTTTGATAACCACAGAGACCAATCTCAATTCTACATTTGTGTTTTTGGAGACAGCAGGTCAGCTTCAGCAATGCTACACACTGTTTACTGAGTTCACTGACATATGGGAAGACATAGAGTTTCAGGGGCCTTCCTGTAATGCACTGAAAAACCTAGTCCTGCCTCTATCATGGGAGAAAAGTAGAGGCAATCAACTTGGATATGATACTATTTCTCTCTTTTAACCAAGCTGGAGTGAAAAATGCTTGAAGATGGTGATGGCCAAGACCAGAGTCAGGAACTGGGGTCTGGGCAGAGTCTAGGGAACCATTAGAGCCTTGTCTTCTTGGTTTCCAGGTTGATCATATTTCCTTGGATTTTGGGGGTCTGCTTATCTGTTGACCCCTGAACATCCCTTGGCTTTAAAGGAACATAGTAGTATCCCATGATGGAGAAGATCAGGCAGACCACCAGCAAGAGGCAGGAAAACAAAATGAATTCGGCCCACTGTAGGAAGAAATACATATAAGAGAAAAATATGGAGAACCTGATACTAAACTGATCTTTCTAAGACGAAGACTGAGGAGCAGACTGACCCAGGGTCACCAGTTTAGGAAGAGCTTTGGTAGGGGAAGACAGGGCTCACTGTCCTTGACTCAAATGGACCTATGTGGCCATTATTGCAACTTACATGTCTCTTTTCCTGGCAAAATCTGTGTCTAATTCATCTCAGGTCAGAGGGTTGAATGGGAGACAGAGGGGTCGGGGAAGGGCAGCAGAGGAAGATGTAGGGAAATCCTTGGGTAGACACGTGCTCCTGTTTCTCTTGGGTACATACCTGAACCAGGCCACTGAACTGTGCTACAATAAGCACGATGATATTCCCAACTGCAACTGTCAACAACCAGGCCGCCTGGAGTACAGACTTCATGCTAGAGGGAGCCTAGAGAAGACACAAATCTGTGAGTAAAGAACCTCCCTATACCACCCTCCTATACCATGCATCTACCCAGAAAACTTCTCCCACCCCAACTTCCAGATTTGAACTTCCCTCACAAGTTCAGCTATCACATCAGTTCAGGGAATGCTAATAATGTTCATAGTAACAACAAGATGGAGCTCTTAACTGAACCTTTTAAATCATTGTATCATATAATCTTCATTACAACCCTAAGGGATAATTTCTATTACTATTCTTATTTTACACAAAAATAGCATTAGACAGATGATAATTCACTTGCTGAAGGTTACACAATAGATGTTCAGCCAAAATTTGAACATGGGCAGTTTGATTCCATAGTCCTTATTCTTAATGTTTCAGTATCCTTTTCTGGATCCCAAACAGCATAGGGATCCAGCCTGCCATGTTCCTGGGAGTCAAGTTGATACTCTGTTCAGAGTCATAAGAAATCTAAAGCCAAAAACTATAGAGGTCTTGGCCATGGTCACATACCTAATTAAGGCAGTCAAAGTGTTGGTTGCTCAGTTGTGTCCAACTCTTTGTGACCCCAGTGACTGTATATCCTGCCAGGCTCTTCTGTCCATGGAATTCTCCAGGCAAGAATACTGGAGTGAGTAGCCAATCCCTTCCCCAGGGGATCTTCCCAACCCAGGGATTGAACCTGGGCCTGCTGCATTATAGGCAGATTCTTTACTATCTGAGCCACCAGGGAAGCCCCAAGTGAGGCAGTGTCAGGATTAAAACTCCATCCTCTGAGCAGTAGTTCCATCTCCACTTTCTATTTGCAAAAACCTACCTGAGAATAAGAAAACTCAAGTCCTGTGACAGAGAACATGACCTCCCCAGCTGTAACAAGAGCATATTGTGGTAGCTGCCATGCGATGGACATTTTGTTGGCTGGGATGTATTCCATCTTCCAGGCCTGAGGACCCTGATTGGTTCTCTTAGTGAGGGAAACAAGAAATGGGCTTGTTAGGAGTCTCGAGTAAATATTCCTGGCCTATAGCATTTATGATCTTACATCCATCTCCTGATTGTATTGTCATTCTTGTTGTACCATGAAGAGATTGAGCAATTTCTACACAATTTCAGGTTTTTTAAATTCCTTTTGGTAACACTCCACTCACTTGCCTGGCTTCAGTCAATCAGATACCATTATAACAGAGCCCTTATATGGTAGACTATTTTAATACTGTAGTTTGGAGTCCCAACATTTTGACCTACTGCATATTTTGATCCTGGTCAACATTTTAAATGTAAAATGGCATCTGATATATGAACAATTATCAGAAAAGCATGTACTTTAAAAAGTTAAGTACAATTAAAATATTTCTAACATTTTCCATTTAAATATCTTACTAAAATTACTTTATCAGAATAAATTATTTTCTTGGTAACCTTTACATTAAAGATTTTCCTGATCAAGTTTTAAATACCTATATCAAATACCACCTGCTATTTTTTCTTTTATTTTCTGGCCATTATTTTTAAACTCAAACTTATACATAAAAATTTTGTCAAAAAGATGCAATAATCCTATAAAATTTTGGTCAAAAGAATCTTCAGGGTCAATTTTTTGTTATCAATGTTACCAAATATACATGATTCTATAGTCTTTTTCCCCCGAAACTACTTTTACTGTATGCAGGTTCTCAGCTGTATTTGGTTTTACTGTACAATAAATGGAATGAAATTTTTGAAATTATATATTTTTATAGGGATAAAACCAAGTTTTAGGTAGCAGGTGTTATTAAATAGTAGATGTAATACATGGATATATCATGATATCAAAAATAGAGATAAAATATGAAGTTCAAAAACCCTGAAATAAAAAGTTCTTGATGTTGAAATGCCTTGATTTTCCTATTTGTAAATAGAGTTGTTGCAGATATAATTAGTCAAATTATAATTAAATCATTGGGTGGGCCCTAATCTAATATGACTGATGTCTTCATAAGAGTCAGAGTCACTGCATTCAAAATGTAGTAAGGGAAGTGTTGCTTTCATTGATATTCTGAATAATACTGGGCATATATTTGGGTTTTCTTAGCCTCAGAGAAGACTATGACCTGAGCTTGTAAATAAAAGTCACATTCTTAAATACTCACAGACAAGCATAATAATTAAGTAAACAAAGTAGACTGAATGGGAGTGATACAGACTATGGTAAACTGTCTAAAGCATACAGTCACTATAGCACCAGCCAAGTGACATAGTAATACTTGTTACAAAATTTTCTGATCAAATAACAAAGAAATGTTAAGAATCCAGTTTCTTTGGTGAAATTCTTGAATTTTAAATGTTGTCAATTAATAATTATTATCATTTTTGTCAAGACTGCAACCAGACAAAATAGAACTACATGAGGAACTGGACCCTCAGAACCTCTAATTTATGATCTCTACTCTAGATGCTTATTAGATCCTCACATTCAGAAACAATATATACAGCCTCTAACTTGAGCAGTATACTATAGACAGAACAGATAAAAGCTGAAATAACACCAGGAATGCAAGTGTTATGAATTGAGTTGTGGCCCCCTAAAATGCATATGTTGAATTCAAACCCCCATCACCCACCTGAGAATGTGACCTTATTTGAAAATAGAGTTGTTGTAGATATAATTAGTCAAATTATAATGAGGTCACTCGGGTGGGCCCTAATCTAATATGACCAGTGTCTTCATAAGAGAAATTTGGACATAGACAAACATACAGGGAGAATTCCATGAGAAGATGAAAGTGAAGACTGGGGTGATTCTTCTGTACACCAAGCAACACCAAACATTGCCAGAAAACCACTAAAAACTAAAGGAAGCTAAATGAAATGGATTCTTTCTCACAGCTCTCAGAAGGAAACTACTCTACCAACACCTTGGTCTTGGACTTCTAGCCTTCATGACTGTAAGACAATAAATTTATGTTCTTTAAGCCATTCAGCCTGTGGTACTTTGTTACAGTGGCCCTAGAAAACTAATACAGCTAGGTTGCTTTAACAGCAGAAAATCAATTAATGCACCATAGCAATAGAAAATCACATGATTTTCAGTAGACATAGAAAAAGCATTTGACAAAATTCAATGCCTCCACCCACTTTCCTAGTAAAAAACATACAAACAAAAACCACAACAGACTAGGAATAGAAGGGAACTTAACCTAATACCCAGTCAATGACACCTATAAAAACCCTACAGCTAACATACTCAGTGATAAAAGACTGAATGCTTTCCCCCAAGTGGATGTCTACTCTCACCTCTTCTATTCAATATTTTCTTGGTGGTTCAAGCAAGAGCACTTCACTAAGAAAAAGAAGTAAAAGTCATCCACTGAAAGAAAGAAGTAAAGCTTCTTTATGCAGATAACATGATCTTGTATGTATAAAGTCCTAAGGGATCCACCAAAAATCTATTAAAACTAACAAATGAGTTCAGTAAGGTTGTAGGATGTAAGATCAGTATCAATTGTATTTCTACATATTTCCATGAGCAATTTAAAAATGAAATTAGGGAAATGATTCCGTAAGTAACAGCAAAATAAAGAACAAAATAGTAATAAATATAACAAAACAAATGTAAAACCTATATTCTAAAAAGTACAAAAGCATTGTTGAAAATATTTACATCTTGAAGAAGACCTAAGATAAATGGAAAGACACTTCATGTTCACTGGTCAGGAGACAATTTTGTTAAGGTAGCAAAACTCCTCACAATCACCTCATAAATTCAATGCAATCTTTATAAAAAATCCCAGCTGGCTACTGATCCCAAGCTGATCCTAAGATTATATGAAAATTCAGGGAACCCATAATAGCCAAACCAGTCTTGAAAGGGAAGAATGAGCAAAACTGAAAGACTCATACTTCCTGATTTTTAAATTGACTACAAAGTAACTAATTAAGAGATTGTGGTATAGGCACAAGAATAAATATATAGGTAGATGGAATAGAATTGACTCCAGAAATAAACTCTCACATTTTTGGTCAGTTGACTTTTGACAAGAATATCAAGACCATTTAGTGGGAAAAGAAGAATCTTCAACAGATCGTGCTGAACAACTGGATATTCACATACAAAAGAATAAGGTTAACCCCCAAGCTCATACTATATGCAAAAATTAACTCAAGATAGATTAAAGTCCTAAATGGTGATTTAGTTGCTAAGTCATGTCTGACTCTTTGAAATCCCATGTACTATAACCCACCAGGCTTCTCTGTCCATGGGGATTCTCCAGGCAAGAATACTGGAGTGGGTTGCCATTTCCTTCTCCAGGGGATCTTCCCAAACCAGGGATCGAACCCAGGTCTCCTGCATTGCAGGCAGATTCTTTACCACCTGAGCTCCATATAGAAGTCCTAAATGCAAGAGGTCCGTCTAGTCAAGCTATGGTTTTTCCAGTAGTCATGTATGGATGTGAGAGTTGTACTATAAAAAAGCTGAGTGCCAAAGAATTGATGCTTTTGAACTGTGATGTTGGAGAAGACTCTTGAGAGTCCCTTGGACTGCAAGGAGATCCAACCAGTCCATCCAAAAGGAGATCAGTCCTGGGTGTTCATCGGAAGGACTGATGTTGAAGCTGAAACTCCAATACTTTGGCCACCTGATGCAAAGAGCTGACTCATTTGAAAAGACCCTGATGCTGGGAAAGATTGAGGACAGGAGGAGAAGGGGATGACAGAGGATGAGATGGCTGGATGGCATCACCAACTCAATGGACATGAGTTTAGGTAATCTCCAAGAGTTGGTGATGGACAGAGAGGCCTGGTGTGTTTCGGTTCATGGGGTCGCAGGTTGCAAAGAGTCAAACATGACTGAGCTACTGAACTGAACTGAACTGAAATGTAAGAGGTAAAAACAATAAAACTTAGAGGTAAATATAGGCATAAATCCTCATGAGCTTAGATATGGCAATAGTTTCTTAGATGTAATACTTAAAGTATATGCAACCAAAGAAAAAGTTGATAAATTGAACATCATATAGATTAAAAGTGTTTGTACTTCAGTGGACACCATCAAGAAAGTTAAAAAGACAATCTTATGAGTGGGAGAAAATATTTGCAAATTGTATATCTAATAATGGACTTATATTTAAAATACATAAAGGGGAAGACCCAGAGGAATCGGGTGGAGAGGGAGGTAGGAGGGGGGATCGGGATGGGGAATACTTGTAAATCCATGGCTGATTCATGTCAATGTATGACAAAAACCACTACAATATTGTAAAGTAATTAGCCTCCAACTAATAAAAATAAATGAAAAAAAATACATAAAGAATACTTGTATGCTAAGTTGCTTCAGTCTTGTCCAACTCTTTGTGAACCCTATGGACTGTAGACTGCCAGGCTCCTCTGTCCATGATTCTCCAGGCTAGAATACTGGAGTGGGTTGCCATGCCCTCCTCCAGGGGATCTTCCCCAACCAGGGATCAAACCTATGTCTCTTATGTCTCCTGCATTGACAGGCAGGTTCTTTACCACTAGCATCACCTGGAAAGCCCTTACAAGTCAATAATTAAAAGACAACTCAATTAGAAATTGCACAAAGAATCTGAATAGACATTTCTCCAAACCTGATTACAAATGGCCAATAAGTACATTAAAAAGTACTCAACATTATTAGTCATCAGGAAAATACAAATCAAAACCACAATGAGATACCATTTCATACCTACTAGAATGGCTATAATTAATAAGACAGAAAAATAAGTGCTGCAAAGATGTGAGAATATTGCCACTTTATACTCATGGGAATGACAAATGTGCATTCACTTTGCAAAAGGGCTTCCCTGGTGGCTTAGATGGTAAAGAATCTGCCTGCAATGCAGGCAACCTGGGTCTGATCCTTGGGTTGGGAAGATTCCCCAGGAGGAGGACATAGCAACCCCTCCAGTATTCTTGCGTGGAGAATCCCCATGTACAGAGGAGCCTGGCCGGCTACAGTCCAAAGGGTCGCAAGGAGTTGGACACGACTGAGTGACTAAGCACATGGCAGTTACTCAAATGGTTAAACACAGAATTGCCATGTGACCCAACAATTCCACTCCTAGTTATATACCCAAGAGAAGTGAAAATATATGCCCACGCAAACACTTGTACATGAATATTCATAGCAACATTATTTATATCAGTCAAAAGGTGAAAACACCAAATGTCCATATACTGATGAATACATAAACAGTATGTGTTATATCCATGCAATGGGATATAATTGGGCAATAAAAAGAAGTGAAGTACTGTTATATACCCTGAAAAGACTCTGATGCTGGGGAAGATTGAGGGTAGAAGGAGAAGGGAACGACAAAGGATGAGATGGTTGGATGGCATCACCAACTCAACAATGGACATGAGTTTGGATAGGCTTCGGGAGTTGGTGATGGACAGGGAGGCCTGGTGTGCTGCAGTTCATGGGGTCGCAAAGAGTTGGATGCGACTGAGCGACTGAACTGAACTGGACTATTATATACTGCAATATGAATGAACCTTAAAAATAAGCTAAATGAAAGAATCCAGACACAAAAGACCACATAGTATATCATTCCACTTATACTAAATGTCCACAATAGGCCAGTGTATAAGGAAAGTAAACAAGTAGTTGTCTAGGGGTAAGGGATTTGGGAGGAAATGGTGAGTGACTGCTGATGAGTATGGGGCTTCTTTTTGGAATGAGGAAAGTGTTCTTAAATTACACAACTCTGAATTTTTAAGCACTACTGGATACATATTATTGAAAATATATTCTACATGTGTATTGAACATATAATGCATATTGAATATGTTAATACATTTTAAACCATTATATACTTGAAGTGGGTGAATTGTATGGTATATGAATTATATATCAATAAGGTTGTAATAAAAAATGGCATACCAAAAATGTCATGCTAATTAAATTAATTATAATAAATAAAATGTTGCAGATTATTATCACCCTTCTAGAAATGTTCCATTTTTTTCTTATTCACTATGTACTTTTTATATTTAATACAATGCCAAAAGTAATGGAATAAAATTAGAATCAAAATTGACATCAGAGGTCTAATACCCTGATGGCTGAACAACTGCTTTTGATGGGCCACAGTTAATTGATCCTCCAAACTTTGTGTAAAGATTGACATTTGCTATAAGTCTTGGTATTTCAGACTGTGATATACTAGCAGATCAATTTCCAAGGAGCTAGGAGAACCACATGTGAAGTCAGTCAAGAAGACCAAATTAATTTTTGTTTTCTTGGTGCCATAATGAGACTGGAGCAGATCATGTCACCTCACAGCAATGACTCAAGATAAATTATGTCTACCATTCCCCAAGATCCTATGCCTGCTGCCAATGTTATCTATTTTAAGTCCTCTCTGGAGACCTTAGTAGCTTTTCTAAAGTCACTATAGAAGCTATCACCTTACACTAGAGATAAGTATGTGATACCATCTTGCCACAGAGTCTTCTTTGGATCCAGGATATATATATAGACACATATAGATATAGATACATATATATATATATATATATATATAATATATATAAGTTTAGATATGATATAGTTATATGGATACAGATATATGGAAGGAAAGAGTGAGGATGGCCATGGGATACTTACATTAGTAATAACAAACAGATAAATTGCACCAAAGTCTAATAGGCCCAAATTCAGCGAAAAATCCTCATTCTGTGTTCTACAATGCACTGCAGGATATCTGCAACAGGACAAATTTAGGTTAGAATAAACATTAAAATTTAGAAAAGCACTTCTATTTCTGGTGGAAAGAGTGATTTCATCTCTCTACTGATAGTGAATCAAGCAGCAAAGCTACCATTTCTCTTTAAGGAGTCTTAGAGTAAATTATTTTCTTGCAAGGTTTTTTCCAACCCTGGTCTGAGATTTCATTGCCTGTTGGGTATTTTTTTTTTTTAACCTTAAACCTGAATGCAGAAGGTACAAATTGCTTTCTGTTGTGAACTTCAGACTCTGAGTCTTCTCATCTAAATCTTATGAATTTTTCTCTTCTGAATCTTATGAACTAGTGGAACAGCTTAAAACTGAATCTGAAAGTATAAGCTCAAAGTAACAAGGTGTTAATAGAGGGCAGGAATGGGAGTCAATAATAAACCGGCAAACCTCCAGGAGACAGCCTTCACAACAAGCATGGTCTCAATATGTCTGTGCAGAACAACATGAGACTGAGGAAAGGAGTGAAAGGTTGCAAAAGAGGAGTCTGTGTATATTTACAATTAGCTGAGGTATATTAGGTATATAATTAGGTATAACTTCTATACCTAATCTGCCCACCTATACACAAAGAAAGTATTTAAAATTCAGTTGTTGATGAAAGTAAAATGTCCACAGGGTAGTGCTCTTACTCTCCTCTTTGAACAGTTCTGTAAGCAGACACACCATAGTCTTCACCAACAATGAGGGATGCATCTGTACCCAGGGAGACATTGACCTCTTCATGCAAAGTGTTAACAAACCTAAGGGTAGAGACATTGTTAGAGATTAGACAAACTCTCCCATCTGATAAATGGGCAGGGGCCTTTTCTGTTTTGTTTATTGCTATATGCCTAGTGTCTAGAACAGAGGCTAGCACATAAAAGGTACATGATATATATTGTTAATTGAATGAATAATGAACTCACACATAAGTAATTAGTAGTCTTAGCTGTCCCTATCTTTTTCTTTCCTCAGGTATTAGCTTTTTGTCTGCCACATCATCACCTGATCTCAACTGGGATGACACTATCGTGATCACCCATGGCAGTTTGAGCCTCCTCAGTAACCCAGCTTAGGTGCACCCAATTTCTTTCTGTTTTTTAATGATGGAATTCATCAACTGAAGCTCCAAAAAGGAAAATAATTTTGTATATATAAATACATGTTAGTATTTATATAAAACTTATACTTTATCTTATAAATGAAGTCTGATTTACTTTATACAAAACTCAGACTCCCAACCCACAGTAGGTTAAGCTATCATTGTTTTGGGTCTTCAGACAAACTTGAACTCTTCCAGAACCATCTTTTTAATCTTTTGAACCTGAGCCCCTAAATCGTTCCCTTTGTTTCTATTTTTCGTAGCATTTGTGTTAGTCCCTGGCTCATGGGATTAGAAGGTCTGTTCCCTCTAAAACCATTGATGCTGATTCCTGGACTTGACTTTAGATCATCCTGCACTAACCTAGAAATTGCTCCCTTTCATCCTTACTGGAGGTTTCCATTGCTCTCTGACCCAGGGAAGACATATTTTGATCTGTTTACTTTTTCTGAAAATCATGCAAAGGCAGATTATTATGACTGTTCCAGCCTTCAGTGAAATTCAAATTTTTCATTAAAAGTTCTCCTCTAAAATGCTATTCTCTATAGCAACCATCTAATCTTGATGGCCATAGGCATGTGCATCTGTCTATTTCCTGTCAGATTCCTGCCCCTGTGAGCAAGTGACCTCTTCAGGGCTTCATCTTTGTAACTGTCCCAGAGTGTCTAACAAGACCTTCAACCTTATCTAGATTCAAAACCAAGTCTTTTGACTCCAAGTATGTTACCTTTACTAAATCATGATGCCTCTATAGGTTCATTTTAAATTTTACTTTAAAAACATAGTAACTATAAAAGATATTCAACTTCCAGTAATGAAGGGAGAAATATTTACTTCTAAATTTCTCTCTGAGGATCACAGACAGGAAGTACTAAATTTTTTTTCTTAAGAGCAAGATAAGTGCATAAAATTCAGTAGAAGTAATCCATGTGACAGAGCACAGAGGGGTGTTCATAGACACAGGGTCATTTTTTATTACCATTGAGAAAGCAAGCCAAAAGACTTGGTTTTGAATCTGTGCCTCTCAGTTCCCCGGGGAAATGCCTTGACACCAATCCTCCTGACATTCTAGGAAAACGCATCCTAGTACAAGACAATCAGAATGTGAAGTTCTGTAGACAGCCACATTGTGATCTTTCAATTGGAAGTGGAAATTCTGGTTTTTTGTCTTCAAGTGGAGTCTCGAATAATGTGGCATATTCTGCAGAATGAAGAATATGGGGTCTCTTCTTAAGCCCCACAGCCCAGAAGAGATCCCAGATTCAAGAGAACAGAGAGGCCTGGGTCTCCTTGACATCCAAACCTCATGGCTATCATCCCATTGGTTGTTTTGTTTTCTTCATCCTTCACCTACAATAGAGGGAAGTAAAAATCAGTTACCAGTGACTAGAAGGAAGTGATAGTCATAAAATTTGATCATAAAATCAAATCATAAAATCATATCATAATCAAATCATAAAATTTGATCATCAGATATATCCTTGGTAAGATATTGATGAGCCAGTCATCATACTCTAAGATAATTTGGAAATTAGTCCATTCCTCACTTACCATCACACTAGAAATACTTTCCCCATCTTCTCGAATGATGAGGGTGTACCATATTTTCTCCTCCACAGAATGCTCAGTATAGACAGACACATTGTGATATTTCAATAGGAAGTGGAAATTCTGGCTTTTTGTCTTCAAGTGGAGTTTGGAATAGTGTGGCATATTCTGGAGAATGAAGAGCCTGTTACATTCACCTTCTACCCCACCTTGAACACTTTGTCTCATAGTAAACCAGGGCAGTTGACCTCATCAAATATTTTCAACATTACTCTTTAACTTCGTAATTCCATTTCTGGGAAGATACCATAGGATAAATTATAGGCATGAATAAAGGTTTATGAGTAAGGATGTTCATTACAGGATTACTTATAATAATTAAAATACCGATAAGGAAATATTTTACTAAACTATGATATTTCCACAGAATGGAATATTATGTATCCATTAACACCACATGCTCAAAGTTTATCTAAGGACACAGGAAAATGCTTTTGATGCAGTTTATCTTAAGAAAAATTCAAAGTCAATACAGCATATAATGTTTCAACACTTTTTAAAAATCTGTTTATTCATTTATACAAAACTGCTATCTATAATCTCTGTGTTATGGATTTATAGGTGAATTTTATATCTGTTGACACATTCCCCAATTTTCAATAATAAATTTATATTTTATTAAAGTATTTTTAAATGAATATTTCAGAATATGTATAATATAGTAGTGAAAATATGCAAGTCAAACTCTTCCACAGGGTGTGTGTAGGAAGCAGTTTGAAATGCTAAAACAAATTACCACCTATTGAGAGCTTACAATGTCTCAGACATTATGCTAAGCACTTTACATATAATATTTATCCTTACAACAGCTTATGACATAAAAATTACTGCCATTTTACAGATGATAAAACTGAGGCTTAGAGATACAAATAACTTGTTCAAGGTCTTATAACTACAGAGTGGCAGAACCAGGAATTGGATTGGGGCACTTTGACTCAACAAATGCATGCTATAAACCACAGTATTATGCTGCTGCCTTGGCACATAATCTGAATGTTTCTAACTCACTCAAGTCCATACGTCACCTGAAAAGATTTGACGGACTCTGCCAACAGAGTGTTATTTTCATCGCTGAGCACTGTTACCTTCACCTCATCATCTGCCAGATTTAAGACTTGTAGGAAAATCTCTTGGGAATCTGGCTGGTGTGGGGCCATTTCCTTAGGACAGAGAACACATGTTAGAATTACCAACAAATCACCCTTGAGATACAATGAGATCATATACTGCAGTACTATCTTGATAGCCAAGTTTATCTAGTCAAGAGGATACAGTTTTCTACCTCTAAAGAGCATTTGGCTTTGAAAATTCTGAAGGCAGTTTGGAGCGGGAATCTCCACCTCACTGTAGTAAGCACTGATCAGAGCAGTTCAGTCGCTTAGTCATATCTGACTCTTTGCAACCCCATGAACTGTAGCACACCAGTTTCCCTGTCCATCACCACCTCCCGAAGCTTGCTCAAACTCATGTCCATCGAGTCAGTGATGCCATCCAACCTTCTCATCCTCTGTTGTCCCCTTCTCCTGTTTCAGACTTTCCCAGCATCAGGGTCTTTTCCAATGAGTCAGTTCTTTGCAGCAGGTGGCCAAAGTATTGGAGTTTCAGCTTCAGAATNACAGGAGGCAGGTCAGATGATCTGGTACTCTTATCTCTTGAATAATTTTCCACACTTTATTGTGATCCATAGAGTATAGGCTTTGTTGTGTTCAATAAGGCATAAGTAGATGTTTTTCTAGAACTCTCTTGCTTTTTCGATAATCCAGTGGACGTTGGTAATTTGATATCTGTCCCCTCAGCCTTTTCTAAATCCAGCTTGTTCATCTGGAAGTTCTTTGTTCAGCTACTGTTGAAGTGTGCCTTGGAGAATTTTGATCATTATTTTGCTAGCATGTGAGATAAGTGCAATCGTGGGGTAGTTTGAACAATCTTTGGTATTGCCTTTCTTTGGGATTGGTTATGAAATCAGAACTTTTCCTGTACTGTGGCCACTGCTGAGTTTTCCAAATTTGCTGGCATATTGAGTCCAGCACTTTCACAGCATCATCTTTTAGGATTTGAAATAGCTCAACTGAAATTCCATCACCTCTCACTAGCTTTGTTTGTGGTGATGCTTCCTAAGGTCCACTTGACTTCCCATTCCAGGATGTCTGGCTCTAGGTGAGTGATCACACCATCGTGGTTATCAGGGTCATGAAGATCCTTTTTTGTATAGCTCCTCTGTGTATTTTTGCCACCTCTTCTTAATATCTTCTGCTTCTATAGTCTTTCCTTTCTCCAGGGGATCTTCCCAACTCAGGAACTGAACCCACGTCTCCTGCATAGCAGGTGGATTCTTTATCAACTGAGCTATCAGGGAATCCCCCATAAGCACTGATGCCAGGTAACAAACTCCATTCTTTTTGACTTGGCTGTGGCCCCATACATCATTCCCCAATAGTGACTACTCAATCTGCTAAAAGGTATTTGAGTGTTTGGTAAGGTATCAAAGAGATGATTATATATCTTGGATACTGGTGTTTGGAAATTCCTACATCATTCAGGTGGGAGGTGGACTTCATTTTACACTGCTGCTCTACTCTTTTATCTACTCATTTGCCACAAATACTTATTATGCACCTTCTGTAAAACAGCTACTATGGAAGGACCCAGTGAATCAAGATTGAACAAGTCAGAAAAATGAACAAAATAGATATGATCCTGCCCTCATGGAGCTTAAGATTTACTGTACTCACATTAATTTTTATCTCTACAGCAGCAGCAACTGCAAAAGCCAGGCATGCTAGGATCATACCAACAGCCATTTTCCTAAGCGATCTGTAGAGGAAACAGAGGCAGTTATACCTAAACTGTAGGTGCTAAAGAATAAAATCTAAACCTTCTAAGCTTACCTAATTTGTTCTCAATTACTTTCAAAGTATTTCTTAGTACTCCCCTTCGTATATCCTTTTTACCTTTATTTGAGTCACACTGAACTGTTCTTTGTAACACACCATTTTTTCCATCTTTATTTATGATGGTTTTTCTATCTATTATATCATAATAGCAAAAATAATAGTAACACAGCCAGAATTATTGAACTTTTACCATATACCAGTTACTATATACTATTGCCGTCTTTTCCTCTTCTTTATAAGTTTTTCTTGATGCTGGCCACTCTCTTCCATCTCTGCATTTCTGGGCACTTTGTTTCCCTTCTTAGGCTTAACATCATAACATAACTCATCTTGTGCAATAACCTTGCATATTTTCTAGCTCCCTTACTAAAGAATAAACTCCTTAGGAGCAAGATTTGTGCTTTTACAAAGCACTTGGTGCTCAACGAATGAGTAAATGGCAAAAAGTTATTTGAATATATAAAATGATTATCAAAAGGAAATTGCTATTAAATCAGAAATTATAGATGACTTAACACCCTCTGTCAAACTTTACAAAGAATAACACTTCAATTTAGAAATGGGGAAAACAGTTTCTATCCCCACTCTTATGAGGTCCTTCATTTGTTTCATAGGGACAGTAAGAGATTTAAAGGGATTAGTTAATCATCAAAAACTTTGGACTTCTTTGAAGAGGCAACTTTTAAGTACAAAGCAACAAGTTGGTTTAGGAGACTAATCACATACTTTTGACTTTCCATGAAGTGTACTGCTAACTTTTCAACATCACATATGTAAGTCTGCACTAATGACTTGGACTCTCTAAGTTAAGAATTAATTAGATCTAATTCCCATCCTCTAGTATTAATAGGCATTTAATCTAATATGGATAAACAGTAGCAGAAAGATGATAAACCAAAATAAATTATTACTAAGCAGAAAAGATACTGACTTTTTATCAAACTGGGCAAATTCTGAGTCAGTTTGGAGTAACATAGGTGTAGTGAACACTTGTGTGCATGCATGCTAAGTTGCTTCAGTCATGTCTGACTCTTTGCAACCCCGAGGATTGTAGCCCATTGGGCTCCTATGTCCATGGGATTCTCCAAGCAAGAATACTGGAGTGGGTTGCCATGCCCTCTTTGAGGGCATCTTCCTGACCCAGGGATTGAACCCATGCCCCTTATTTCTCCTACATTGGCAGGCAGATTCTTTACCACTAGTGCCACCTGGGAAGTTCATAGTGAGCACTTACGTGAAGTTAATGCCACACTTAGAGACCAGACGATAAATGACAAGGTCAAACAATGGTATGAAGATAAGAACCAAAAAGGGATTTAGCACCTGTAAAACGATGGTAAAAAGAATTAGTTACATGTGTTCTATCATGAGTGTGAGCATATGCTTTCATTTGCATGTGTGCATACTCTCTCACATCCAAACAAACTTTCATCATACAATGTACGGAATGATTCCACATCTTTCAGTCCCTTTACACCTAAAACTGTATTACCCCTGCATAGCACGTTAGCTTCCAAATATCCCAAGAAACCAGTGTCACTCTGCACCGGTTTTTCTGTCAATTAATTTGTTCTTCCCTCCCATTTGCTCTAATCTTATCCAGTTTCACAACCAAGGGAAAAATGTCACTGTCAGGAGAAAGGAAGGAGAGAAGAAGGAATTGGGGACTGTTAAACAAAACAAAGAGTTAAAAATAACTGGAAGTCACCAATAAATAGGCCTTCTGAATTCATTGCTCACACAACAAAGCATTACACTTCCTTTGACAACATGATACTTGATGAGGAAAAAAAAAATCCAATGCTTACACTTTCCCTGTGAGTTCAAAATTCCCTGGAGTTTTTGCATTAGCTACTTGCTTAAGAGAAGATATGAAACAGAAGTGTGAGGCTTAGAATATTTTCATCGCTATGTTTAGCCCTCCCCAGCATAGAAGGAAAAAAACCTATCAAATTATGGTTGGTAATCCTCCTATTACATGTAAAGTTATAAATAAGGGAAAAAGTAAGTACCCAAGAATATAGAGAAGTCTCCTACCTGCATCTGATCAGGTTGAAGCACAAAGAAACCCTGAAACATGATAACAAATCACATTAAGATATTGGCATAAAGACAAAAAAAGCCTAGATCAACAATCTTGATAATTAGCAGGTGAGAAGCATAAGATAATATCCATCAGGTCTTTGGTTCGGGACCACTATTATCCTTGTAAGGGTATGTGGGGAAATAGGCTGGAATGGCTTAGACCATGGCTCCTGAAGGCAGATGGGCCTAAGGGAGAACCTTATTTTCTGTGCACTATGCTTTTTTTAACTTGAGAGAGAATAGAGTTAGTGTGTTTTTATTAATCTCAGTAACTATAGTCATGGCAGTAAAGATGTGAAGGACAAAAAGGTATGATGGTTAGGGTAAAGTCTCCCATCGACACACAGTGTTTTTAAAGTTTGACCCTTCAGAGGGTCAAAAGGAAGACAACCATGGTAAATCCTGGACAGCCAGAGGAAGGGAAAAGATGAAATTATATTAGGCAAGCTCCAAACAGACTGGCTGATAAAACCCTGGCATCATTCCACCCTGCCTTCTCCACAAGTGAGATGTCAGGAGAGCATACAATAATCTAGGCAGCAGGAATAAATAAGAGAAGAGTTTGTTAATGAATGAAAATTTTAAAGAGAAAATTATGTTTAAAATTTTTCCATTATTTCTGTATCCATGAACAAAATATCCCACCTCTGGATCCCTGCTGTGAACCCTGCCTGAGAGGTTGGGCCAATTGTGTTGTGGCAGCAATCTGTTGTGCCCTGGGGTGCCTGGTGGTGGTTTGGTTGCTAAGTCTTGTCCAACTCTTGCGAGTCCATGGACTGTAGCCTGCTGGGCTCCTCTGTCCATGGAATTCTCCAGGAAAGAATACTGGAGTGGGTGGCCATTTCCTTCTGCAGGGGAGCTTCCTGACCCAGGAATCAAACCCAGGTCTCCTGCATTGAAGGCAGATTCTTTACTGACTGAGCTAAGAGGGGAGCTTTGGTGGGGCATAGTTGGAAGGAAACATCCATTCCCCAGGCTTCATTTGCTCCCTATTGACTCCCTATCACTACCTACTCCCTATCACTTCATTTGCTATTGTCTCAGTGCTTCCTGTATACACTGAAACCTTTCCATCCTTACCTTTCTGATTTTCAAGGATAAGATTCTGTCTTTAAGACTCACTTTGCCTACCCAGTAACTTCATGCTAAAGGTATAATCTTATGTCACTTTTTAGGCAAAAAACACAAAGAAATTTTTCCTTAGTATGGATTAAAAAGAAAATGATAGACTTCTCTGGAAAAAATCTCTTCTACTCACCAAATTCCCATTCATCCTGGTGGCTTGCAAGGTCCATCGTGAGCCCTACAGCAAACAGATGCTATTAGAGGAAACCCTTTTCCTTTGAGAGAGAAGGGGCTAGAAGAAGAGGTAGTTTTCAAAAGAACTATTCTTACCTGCTGATCCAAAAGTGCCCAGAACATGGGCAATGGAATATAAAGGAACAGTACCCTGGTCAGTGCCTTCACATCCATAATGAGCTGCTTCTGCAAAGAGGAGGAAGAAGGAATAGGCTGAATTGGCAGTTAAGGATTTCTTGCTTGGAGCAGAAATGGCCCAGAACAGTAAGAGAGGAGGTCAAATACAGCAGGAGGGAATCAGTTTGGTTATTAGGAACAACTCTATGGAGGCATCAGATGTTTCTGCAGTTCAACTTACTGGGTATTTCTCAGCTGCCCAGTCCAGCCAGTGCTCTCGCTTAGGACTGTCCCCAGAATGGTTCTTGAAACGGCTGGAAATGGCAAACTAGGGCAGAGCATAGATATCAGAAGAGAGAAAAAAAACAAACAAAAAACCCATCCCCTGCCTTCTCCATTTCACTGTAACTTCCCTTAGACACACATACTCTTGAGCGACTTAATCTTACCTTTTAATTTCATCACACATTGAATTTCAGAATATTTGAAATATAATTTCAACATATATGACTACATTTCAGAAAACTTTTGCCAGTTTTTAAAAAATGATTATATTATTTTTAGCTTAAAAGTTAAATAGAGGCATTGAGTGATGTTTGATCAATCCCAATTTACAGAAGTCACAGAAGCAGTGCAGAGGTCACTGAGAAAAGTGTATACCCATATTTGAAGGCCTATAGGCTCAGAACAGCATTTCTGGACTCTGGGAGAAGGCGAGGGTGGGATGTTTCAAAAGAACAGCATTGAAACATGTATATTATCTAGGGTGAAACACATAACCAGCTCAGGTTGGGTACATGAGACAAGTGCTCGGGCCTGGTGCACTGGGAAGACCCAGAGGGATCGGGTGGAGAGGGAGGTGGGAGGGGGGACTGGGATGGGGAATACATGTAAATCCATGGCTAGTTCATTTCAATGTATAACAAAAACTACTGTAATGATGTAAAGTAATTAGCAAAAAAAAAAAGTAATTGATAATAAAAAAAAAAAAAAAGAAAAAGGCAGGCAAACAATTCATGAACTTACCCAGATACATTTGACCACTTGATTCAGTATGTTTCCTTCAGGAGGTGGTTTTCTGTATAGTTTACTTCCCATTGCAAACACAACTGCAGTAGATAAACAAAGTTCTTAGCTTCTCATTTAGCACATTTAGTTGTCAACACAAAGGACACTCTGCTGAAATGTAGGAATGATTGACACATTTCATAAAGGGTGGAAACTGACTGATGCTCCCTGACTTTGGAGTCATAAAAACTATGGGAGCAAGAGAAAAATTAAATGGTCAATGTGTAGACTTTCCTGTAATCACAGAAATGAAAGTCACCTCTGAATTCTCTGTCTTCTATCTCATCTCTACATCTATATATTATCAACTTTCACTGATCCTCTATCTTCAGTATATCTCCTGCCTGTACCCTCTTTGCATCACCAGGGCTATGACTTGTATAGGACCTCACAACTTCTACCCTGTATTTTCAAAATGATCACCAAGAAGTTTCTTAATCTCTGTTCATTTCTCCTTATCTGCTGCCAAATTAAAATCTTGTTTCCAAGACCTACCTATAAGCCCTATCTCCTGAAATGGAGTTTCCCAAATTCATTATTATCCTGATGGTTATTATTATCATTAATGATCTCTTGAAGGTTTATTTTTATATGTAAAGTGTTAAGCATTTTACATAATAGTACTGATTTAACCTGAAAAGGATTTTACACATAAAAAAAAATCAAGGATTAAGGAGTTAAGCAAGTTGTACAAGATTGCAGAGATTGAAATTGCCAGAAACTACACTCTTTTTCATTATTTATTTTTGATATCACTAAACTTTGTTTCATATAATCTTTTAAATGATATGAAAATAAATTGTATTAAAATATAAGAAGAACAAGTAAATAATAGATGTATAACTTAATGAATTTTTACAAGTGAACATACCCATGTAACTAAGACCAGACAAAGAAACATATTCTAGATCCCAGTGTTCCCTTCCAGCACTGACACCCCCACCCTCAACCCACCTCTGCTAAGTTATGCCTCTTTCAATTCCTTTTTACAGCTTGGTAGTAAGATCAGAAACTACCTTCTTGAACTGAGGTCTGTCTACTCAAAAACTTATATTCTTAACCACCATAAAATACCTCATTCATTGATTCTTGCATCACACACTTTGCCTGACACTGCTGAGAATAAAGATAAAAAAGACATGACCCCTATCTGCAACAGAGTTCCCCACAACCAACTGCTTCCCACTTTTCCTTTCATTACTCTGTATTGACACTGTATCTTCTAACCATAATTCATTATTCCTAAAACAATTCTTCTCTGTTTTATTTCTGTTCTTGAACTCATTCTCTCTCAATGCATATCTTTATCTTTTAACTACATCTCTACAGTTATCTGTAGGTGAATTTAATTTTCTTATTTTCACTTCATTTTCCACATACCAGCTATGAGATATTACTTTTACAATTATAAAATAGTAAGTTTTTTTTTTCAAATGTATTAAATTTAACTAAAATTTATGGGAAACCTCCATTTTGGTACCATATCCAATATACTTTCCTCTTCAATGGATTTTCCAGCTCCAGCAAGATATCCCTCTAGGAGCTCCTCTACCAAAAATGCCTTCTTCAGTGACCAGTAGTAATCTCCAATATCCTTACATCCAGAATGCCTGAATCACCTTACTTTTCTCTAGCTTAACTTTCTACTTTCTCCATTCTTCTCTGTCAGGTTCACTCCACCACTTTTTCTTGATTATCCTCTGAGTTTCTCCCAAACTTCTCCAAATAGCATGCTTTACTACTTATTATGGCCTTCTTATTGTTGATTAAAAAAAAAAAATTTCAGATAAAGAACGCTAATCCTGAGAGACAAGTGGGCAGATAAAAAAGGTATCTGGACAAGCAGAAAATTTGGGATGGGAAATAGACAGCTTTTGAAACTAATAATGATCCAGAAAGGGGCTGAAATTCTTAGGAATTCTGGTCTAAAATGTGACAATGGAGTGATAAAAAGAAGGTCAGGTGACCAGCTTGACAAGGTCACACTTAAATTTGAAGGCCACTAAACTGAAGAAGATGGGTAGGGACCTTGAGTTTTTCTAACATCTACTTCCACTAGTAGACATTGTTGCCTCTTACTTCACAAAGAAAATAGAAGGCTTCAAATGAAAACTCCCTCAACTCCTGCCACCAAATCTATTAATATTTGTATCCATACCCATCCCCTCTTCTCTCCAGTTACATGAAGGTAATGTTCCTCCTCTTGTGTAAATACAATTCTACCGTGTTTGCTTTCATATTGGTTATACTGTCTTACCTTACATCTTCAACATCTTTCTTTACTGGAGTGTTCCTAATAATAATAAAGCATGCTTAATATCCTCTCCTGACTCCATGTCACCTTTTAGCTATAAAATTCTTACTGTTTTCTCTTTCATTCATCTTATTCACTTCCCAGTCTGCTCTAATTATTCTTGAAACTCCACCAGTCTACCATAACTGATATCATCAAATCAATGACTTTTGTGTCACCATATTTAATGGACATTTTTCACCCTTATCTTGCTTTCCCAGTCAGTAATATTTGTTACTCCGAATGATCCCCTTCCTGAAATCCTCTTGGTTATCAAGTAGAACTACTATCACTTTGGGCTTTCATTTTTAGTCTCATCTGTAGGCTTTCCCCTTGTTACCTGTCTTTTTTTGTTTGTTTAACTGCAAAATCCTTTACCTAATTCAGATACAAAATTTGAGTCAACACATTTTCATCTTAAAGGAAATACAATAACTTATAAGTAAATGCTGGCTTGTATAAAAGTATGCTTAACACTGATTTTTAATATTAATAATATAAATGCATCAAGACTTGACAATCTATATATTGGAGAAAATAATGACTATTATGTTTTCATTACAATAAGACTCATTCCATACAAATTTGAAACATTATTCTAAAGGTTTATGCCATGGAGATTGTCCCCTAAAGATATGATTGTGGCATTATTGAAATCACCCTGGTTCTCAAAATGCCACATTCTGTTTTCTACCTCTCCATTTGCAGTTTTTTTCCCTACCTGGAGAGCCCTTCCCCAACTTTTCTTTAGTGAATCTTTATTTGAATGGCTTCAGTGCAACTTAATTATTGCCTTTGCTGTATGTACATCCTTGTAGATATCTTTATTTTTGCACTTATCACAGTTAAGAGAGCTTAATCTTCCACCAGGACAACAAAATTCCTTGTAAATACTTACCATAACTTGTTTATTTCTGATGCCTGGCACTTAGCTCATTTGTTTGTCTTTTAAATATTGGTATTCCTCAAGGTCCTATCCTTGTTCTCCTTTATCATACTCTTAGTCATTCCATCTATTTTCATGACTTAACTGCTATCCATATACTAATAGCTCTGGCTCTATATCTATAACGCAGACATTTATTCTGGACTTTAAACTTGTATTTCCAAATAAATACAGATTTAAAAGTTTGGTACTCGCAATTAAATGTTCCAAAAACATCTAAATGTTACATGTACAAAACTAAATTCGTTAGTATTGCCCCAAGTCTACTCTCCCTTAGACCATACTCCTACTATCCACCCATTTGCTCAAGTCAGAATGCTGCATTCAATACTGGCTTATCTTCTCTCTTACTTTCACACATCTAATCATATCAAATTTGTCAGTTCTGTCAGGGCTGAAGAAGGTGAGCTAAGGTAGGCACTCATCTTGAGCACGAAATTTAAGGAAGTACCAAAAATTCAGTAATCAAGACAGAGTATCCTTTGTCTCACCCTTAATCCATTCTTTTTCCACATTACAGTCAGAAATACCACTGAAAAATAAACATCTAACAATCATTCCTTTATTTAAAACCCTTTTGAAGCTCCCTACTATTCTTCTGATAAAGTTCTAATTCCTTAATAAATTAAAAGTCTTTCATTATCTGGTTTCTGTCAGTTTCTCCTCTTTATCCTCTGTTCCTTCAAGGCCTTCAAATATGTCATACTATTTCTCAACCCTTTGTCTTATAGATACCATGTCCTATTTCTGTTTCACTTTCAATCTCTTCTTTGATTAACTGCTGTTAATGCTTTAGGTCTTACCTTCCCTATCATTTCTTTAGGCAAAGCTTTTCTGAGACTCAAAATCTTAGGTATCCCTTTGTGTTCTTAAAGCTTCCTCTGTATTTCTCTAGTTGTGACAGTGATGATACTATATTAAAAGATCCTATTTACTTGTCTGTCTCCCTCTTCCTGCTGGACCAAATAAATCCTTTGAAAGCATGAATTCTGTAGCTACCTAATTCACCAACATGGTCCCAGTACCTAGCACAGAATCTGACACATTAAATGTCCATTAAATAGATGTTTGTTGAATGAATTAATGAGTGAAAAACTCAAATAAATTAAATTATAGTGAAAAATCACAGAATTGATTTATTAGTACCCAGAAAACTGAAGTAACTAGTGATGATAGCTAACACTTGTTTAACATTTAACATTCAGTTAACATTTCATATTTGTAAACATTTCAAAAGCATCTCTTTTGATCTTCATAATTACTCTGAAATGTAAATAATATTGTGTGGTGATCCAGAGAAAAAGACATAGTACTAATCAGGAAAATTAGGAATATATTTGGCTTTGAAGAGAGAAGGAAGCAGAATGTATTATCACTGGGCCCTAGACTAACACATAAATTTCCTTGGAATTGGAATTGCAACTTGCCTGAGTAATATTATTAGCCCCCCAACTCTGTTTGAAAATAATCAGATAGAACAGTGAGCCTCTGGGCTCTTTATTCTTAATTGGGCTCTTTATGTGTTTGGACTGGATATCCTCCAGGGGGGTGTCACCCAAAGGCTCAGTGTGAGAACAGGTTTCCAGGTCAATGATTACAAACAATCATGTCCAAGTTTCCCTTTAGACTGTGTACACTAAGGAACACATATATTCCTCTTCCTCTTCCATTGCTGGTTTCTCAGTGGTAAAGAGAATGCCATTTGATCTAAGTTGCATCAGTTTTCCCCTGCTTATCCAACTCCTCTTATTCTCTTTGCTCAGGAGCAAACTTCTTGTAAGCATTGCAGAGCAGGGCAGAAACAGCTGACCCTAGAAGCTTTAAAAGGCCCCAAGAATTTTTAAGTCTTCCAGTTACCAGATAATTATCAGATGAAATAAGCTGGTTCAAGAGGAAGGATTATTTTCTTTGCTTCACTATATATTGTAATGTAGATCAGTACATCTCAACTGTGACTACAGTTACAATCAACTAGATACTTAAAAAATTTTAGATGCCAAGGCTGTATCCCACAGAGATCCTGATTTAATTGGTCCTACATGGCATCCAAGGATCAGTCTTTTTAAAACTCTCAGGAAACTTATTAGTTACATAACCATGGGCACTATTTTTTTTTAGGCTTCTAACTTTATTCAGTTAATTTATCTACAATGTCTAGGGAAAACTCCTACAATAACATTTACCTAATAGGTTTGTGTGAGGACTGAATAAAATAGTTTGTGTACAGTGCTTACTCATGCTTTCCACGTGGAAGGCATCAGTGGTTATTAGTTTTCTTTGCCCCATTGCACTTACCAAGAGCTATCAGCATAAGCAATCCTGGAACTCCAAAAGCCAATGCATAGCAGTCCTTCCCAAAACACTGCACATCTCCTACAGGAAAAAACCAAACCAAATTAATCCTGAATCTTAAGTTTTTGATGTTCTGTTCTATAAGCTCAGGTTTTTGAGGTCACAGACATAACCATCCTGTTTCCTCTCAACACCTAATCCATAATCCTTCTTTTGGGCCAGACAAATCAAGATTAAAAGAAATTTGCTCAGGTTTTCAAACTCATATAAAAGGAGAAGATGGACAGTAATAAACCTTGAACGGATTTTTGGCTGGGCAGAGTAAAGCTTATACAGAGGCCCTCAGAAAAGATCCCAACCTCTCAGCATGGGTGTGACAAATGTAGAAATCAAGCTCCCTGCATTGATGGAGAGGTAGAAGACTGAGAAGAATCTAGTCCGTTCCTCTGTCTGAAAAAAAAAAAAGTCAAAACAGGACAAATCATCAGTTCAATGTGCCTCCTTGGTCCACCCCACCACCTCTTCAGACTAATTAAGAAGTACATACACAGATTCAAATACTGCCTCCATAGTATGTGAATGTCATATTAGATATTTTAACACATATCTTGTTGACCCCAAATAAACATTTCTCTTTCACACCCTAGTACAATCATCTTTAACATTTTTTTACCCTTTTATATTGGCAAAAATGATCATCTTGTATACTTTGTCTATGTACTGTGTCCTATACGTGTTTATTCTAGTATTAGTCTCTGTATTAAATGTCTGTTTCTTTCAGTAGGTTGAGAGTTCCTTTAGGGCAGAAAAAAAAATCTTATTATTTTCTGTAATCTTCACAAGCATCACTAGCATAGCACCCATCTTATATTAGACTCAGTAAATGTTTATTAACTGAATTAAGTTAGTGAATTAATGACTGAGTTAAATAATAGATTTTGTGAAATGTCTGGTAGGAATAGAACTAGAATATGGAACAGTTGAGTAAATTGTTGATCAAACAGAATAATTTACCTAATGCTCATGGAAAGTCGGCCAGAGACTACTAAAGAAAGTCTGTGGGCTGGGCAGTGGCCAGTGGAAACTTGGAAGTGGGTTTGTCCTATTACTGAAATATCTTTGTGGAACACTTACAAAATGAAGCAGCTTTCAAATAAAGTTGCTGATACTTTATTCATTATGCATGTCTGTGCTTCATTCTGACTCCCCTGACACATCAGCACAATCTCCATTTTCCATTTTTTGTGTGTTTTGCTTCCTCTTCTGGTCTCCTTTTAAACCTGCTCCATTCATCTATGTGTAGAATTCATTGTGCATAGAATCCCACTTGCCAGAGGTTGGTGATTTCTCTAATGTTAGCAAGCAATTACAATCTACGAACCCTTGGGTAGATAAAGAATATAAACTAACCCACATGGTCTGAAAGGTTAGCGAAATTCAGGAAGACATGATACAGGAAAAGAACAGAGAGTAAAAAACAAACATGATAAATGAAACATGATAAATAGCTATAGAAGAGGGAATAATACATGAAGACAGTCAAAAAGGAAAACTGAGAAGTAAAAAGAGGAAGCTAGAAATGTTGGTTGATCTAAGAATAGAGTATTTTCCTTGCCTAGTTGTCACTCCTTCCTTAACAGGTATGTTTTTACCTTTATTCATACTGCCCCCCCCCCATGGACAGTGGAAAGTGTCTAGGAAAAGAAGGAATGATCATCAAGACAGGATCATCCAAAAAAATTCATTCTGTTTTATTCTAAATGGTCATTTTCTCCTTCGTAGAATCTCAAAGCTAGAGATGCTTACATCATCTCCAAACTACTCATCACCTCCCATTCCCAAATTGATGACCATGTATCTTCTTAAATATCTCAAGTGAGAGTGTGAACTCACTAATATTTGAGATTTTTCTTTCCACCAAGTGAAAAGCTAACTTCCTATAGCTTTCTCTCATTGATCTTTGGATTAATTTCTGACATCCTCCCAATATCTATATAAAAGTAGTAACTCAGAAGGTAAAGAATCTGTCTGCAATGCAGGAGACCCAGGTTCAATCCCTGGGTTGGGAAGATCCTCTGGAGAAAGAAATGGCAACCCACTCCAGTATTCTTGCCTGGAAAATCCCATGGACAGGGATGCCTGGCGTGCTGCAGCCCATAGGGTCGCAAAGAGTTGGACATGACTGAGTGACTAAACAACAGCAACTTCCAGCATCTAGAGATAGTTATAACATTCTCTTTAAAGTCTTATCTTATCCAGTCTAAATATCTTCATTTCCTTCAATTTTTCTTCCTAAGCTGCCTCTTTTTAGTCCATCTGTCACCCTGGTCATATTCCTTTGAAATGTTTCAGTTTTTCTCTTCATTAATGATCAGTATCCAGCACTGAACACTACTCAGATATGTTCTAACTACTGGATCACTACAATCCTGGCAAATGGCTACGTGTCATTTAATGCCTGCTCTAATTCTTGAAAACACAGAAATGACAGGACTCTTACATGTTTTTCTTCAAACTGGTCTCCACCAAAAGCTGCCACACAGGGTTTGATACCTCCTGTCCCCAAAGCTATTAGACTCAGGCCAACCATTGACAGGACTCTGAAATGGAAAGATGAGAGTACTAACCATACTGATACTAAACACAACTGTATAAATGGAATATAGAGCTATAAGAGAAAAAATATGTGTACAAGGGCACGACCTCCTTTACATTTCTATATTGTCTCCTAGGAGAGACTCAGGAGCATTTACAATCTTCATAATCCTTGAGTTTCTGCCAGGAAGTATCATTACATGGGAAGATTTTGTCCCTGATAGTTTCATTTACCTCATGTGTACAATATATGGAAGCTGATACTCAAGGAACTCCAGAGTTAAGACTCTGTTCTCAATATCGTCATAGTCAAAGGGGCACGTCAATAGAAAGACCTTGTGAACCTTTATTCCACGTATTCTTAGTAACCACAAAATAAAATCTTAAGTTAGCCATAACTAATAGAAGAAATGTCAATGATTTCTAATGGGACAACAATAATAAGGTATCTAATATCCATTAAATTTCAAACAAAATTCTTAACTCACTGAAAAATACATGTCTGGCCACATTATAAACACAAATGTATACAACCTGCTTCATGAACAAGTCTAATCCTCTCTGACTCAACCAACAAATGTCAGAACCTATCAAGATTCTTTGGCATCGTAAACATCAATAACTTAACAAATTGGAATATATGGGACTACACATAAATGGAAATAATTCAAGCTTTGAATATGAATTCTACAATATACTATAAAGGAGTACCACAAAAAACAAATAAAGAAGTACCACAAACATTTAAAAAAAATTCTTAAAGTACAATGTGTGGATGGGTGAACATGTGAAGGAATATGGAGGGCATGAAGATTTTCATGTCTTCAAGCATATGTAGAGTTTCTGCGAAAAGGATGCTAACTGAGCTATCTGTAAGTCCCCAAATATTTAATAAAAACACATGAGCTCAGATAAAGTAGGAAAGAGTTCAACTAGTCAAATATTTTTTCTTAACCAATTTGGTATAATAAAATAATAGGTTGTAAAATAAAGAGACATCTCTAGTAAGAAGATAGAGAAATATCTATAATGAATGCATGAAATATTTACCTGTCCAATGGAGGAAAGTGGTCCTTTTCCAATGAGGAGGTTCATGATTTACATGATATCTACATGATTTACATGATTTTACTCACGTGTGTAACATTTGTCCCCCCAGTATTGGTAAGGCACCCATGGACTTGATCACATGGCCAAGCACATACACCAAGGAGAGATAGATGATTGTCCTGTTGAAAAAGTTAAATCAGTCAGTCTACAAACAGAATTCAGAGATTTGGGCAATACAGACTCCGTTCATACTGTTCTCAGTGCCAGGATAAGTGGAGCAGGAGGAGGAAGGGTTGGCCGAAGAAAGAATTATATGAGAAATGCAAATAGAAATTCTAATGGTGAATGAAGCAAACAGACTAGAAAAAGGGACAGTAACTCTTCACCCTATAGCATTAGGGACATTCTTTTCTCGTGCTTTCTGTTTTTCCCTGCCTACCCCACACAGAAAATCCATGATCTTGCACAGATATATCATGAACAGGTTTGATCTGTAGTGAGACATAATGTTTTAAGGAAGGAGAACCAGAAGAACAGGATATGTTTGACCTGAGGTTTTTTTCCCAAGGAATGTCTTTGATTGTAGAACTCCATAAAGGTCAAGAAAGAATCACATAAACAGGAAAATAAGGGAACAAAGAACTTTCTTTAAACACAGTCACTGGGATAAAGAGGTAAAGGGTTTAATCTGAACACTTGGGTTATTGTAATCCCCACCACAGTTTCCTCATGGACTATTTAGCAAGGGTAAGAAAGGAGCCATGGCCTTTGAACAGATGTTCAGTGATATATAGCTCATGCAGTTGATAGGGACTTATTGTTATGTTGTTTTTTCTTTCTTTTTTAACTTTTTATTTTATATTGGAGTATATTATATCGGAATATTTTATATTTTATATTGGAGTATAGCCAACTAACATTGTTTCAGGTACACAGCAAAGAAAGAGACTCAGCCATACATATACATGTATCCATTCCCCCCAAACGTTATTTGTTTTTCAAAAAAAGATCTCAATGATACCTAGTAAGTGTAAGAGTGAGGAATTCCAGTAGGAACCTACGTTGAGATACACACACTGAAACATGGCACGCTATCAAATACACAATGTGTATTATGTGTATTGTGACACCAGAATTCTCTTTACACGTAAGTAGAATATTACTACTAGAAGGAACCTTAGAAATTATATAGCTTACTTCTGCAATTTTAAAGTACCATGTGCTAAAGTGGAATACAAAAAAAATGGAATGAAGATAGCAAAGAGAGGCTGGAGATGCCAGAAACCTCAGAATGTGGATTTCTCATTCTAAATGCCTAATATTCCTAGGTTGGCTCAGCAGGGAAGGGATCTTAGACGGTTTATAATGGGAAATAGGAGATAAGAAAAGGGAAGGGACAGGCTTTCCTAAAAGGCCTTGTAGGATTTTCTGGAGAAAAGTTTTCTTCACTAGAATAAAAAGAATGAATAGAAAGAAACAGAATAAAAAGTGACTGAGAAAAGGACAGCTATTATGAACACAAAATAGATGATGTATGCTAAATCATCACTGAGAAAAAACAAAAGGAATCTGAGCTGGAGTGATAGTCTGTGTTGGGAGATCAGGGCAATATCAGATTGTTGGACTAAACAAATGATAGAAGTGTAATTGCCTCAAAAGAAAAACAAGCTACCTTCTAGGTGAAAGATTCGAGGAATTAGTCAAAAATATGAAGAATATAAGTGAGGAAGCTAACAGCAGAGAACTTTAACAGAAGGAGAGCGAAGTCAAGAGAGACTTGGAAATTCTGCATTTGAAATGCAGTTGTCATTGGGGATATTACAGTCCTAACCACAGGACACAGATCTGCTTCAGACAGACTTCAGTCTTCCATTTGCAAATGAGGAAAGTGAAATGCAGAGAAGTCAAAGGACATTTTTAAAGTGCCATGCTAATTGGGATTAGAATTATGTCTAGAACTTCTTTCTTACAGACTGCATTCCTTCAGTTTTATGAACAAGTTAATGTGGGAAAAGGAAGGGAAAAGAAAGAAGTTTTAAATTTTATTTCACCATAAGAATATCAAAAGCCAGAGACATTTTAAATTAGAGTTTAGGAACTGAGGAGTATGTGCAATAGGCAGAGACCTACTGTAAGGAAGGAAGAGACCTAGCATAAAGAGGGTCAGCTCTGACCAGACAAAAAAGATAGGGGGAAGGATATGCTATAGACCCAGTCAGATAAAGAGGAAGTGTAGTAAAGACATCCAAAAATATATTTGGCAAAACACACTTAAGAGAGTGGCTTTTAGTGATTGCCATGATCAGGAGACCAGACTGACAGGCACAGGTCACAAGGTATAAACCAACACTAGGGACTATGACTAAAAATGTTATTCTCTCTTAAAAGCAACTTGGCATCAAAAATAGCACCTGAGCATGTAATTAACCTTCTCAGTAGATACTTATAGAAACAGTAAAAAGCCAGTATCCATGTTTAAAAAATTGTTTTCCATTGTGTATCTACTGGCTACTCTCTCCTAGATGTAGCCCTGAAGGAAGTTTCACCTCTCTCCTGACACAGTGAGTTCCTTGTACAAAAGTCAGGGGCCACGGGTGCCCATTTTCTCTTAACAAAGCTAGGATTCTGGGACTTCAAATAGAGGAAGTACCTTTAATATATGCTGTGTACTAAATTCAGAAAATTTTGGTTTGAAGGTATGAGCAATGTTTCTAATGTTACAGGAAATTTTTCAGGCAGAAGCTAACTTCTGAAGAAAAGGAAAGGAGTTTGAAATACTTGTTTGTTCATGTTGTTGTCATCATTGTCTTTGGACATGTGAGCTCACCACACCCCCACACATCCCTAAAGAACAAGTTATTGGTGTTTTCTCCAACCCACTTTCCTCTGAAAGAGATACCTATTCATCCCTTAAAGAATTTTGTTATTTTAAAAGCAACCACAATACCCACAACAAAATAAAAGTCATCTTCACACCTGCCCACACCTACCCTCAGTCTTCTGCCTATGTTCATCTGAGGATGAATATATTTATTAACTGAAATATTTTTTGTGGGCCTCCTATGCACCAGCCATTGTTTTAAGTGCTGTGCATAAAAAACTATAAATGAGGCTTTGCCTTCTAAGTGTTTAGAAGAAGATATTAGATTCATATACACATAGTTATTATAAGAGAGAATTTGTCATGTGAGGGTGAGAAATAGGGAGTTCAGAGCATATTAGATTAATTCTGGTTAGTGGTAAAAGGTAAGGGGCAAAGGATATTCCATTGCATAGGTGGCATGTGAACTGAGCCTTAAAGAGTTTGGATGTGGAAGGCTGGGGAAGAAAGAGCTTTCATGAAGTAGAAACTATGCAAACAGACATAGAAAAGAGATGTTCCTGGCCATCATTAGGTAAATATTAGTATTTGGTTCATCTATTGGACATTCTTGAAAGGGAGTAAGACAATAAGAGCAGAAAGGTAAGTTAGATGGATTAGTAGACAACATGTTGGCAGAAATTTTGAGCAGAGTAGTAATGTGAATGGAGATTTCTTTTAGGAAAATTAATTTGACAGTAGTGCAAGGATTCAACTATGAACAAAGATTATGGGAAACAATGAAAACGTCACATGTGTCCATTATAATAGTCCAGTTCAGAGGCTAAAGACAACCAAAACTAGAGTACTGGTGACTCAGTATTGAGGTGGGAGGAATATGAGATAATATAGAAACAGAATTGGTAGAATTTAAAAACTGATTGGATGTAGAAGTATAGGGTAGCTAGGAGAGAGGATAAGGTGGAATATCCAGGAGATGAATGCTAATGTGCAGTTACAGTGCACACTTGGGGCTTGAGTGATAGGTTAAGATTACAGAGTTTGAGGAGACATCAGCATATAGCTAAAATTGACACCATGGAACTTGCTAAGGGAAAATCTGGAGAAAGGGAAAAGGGTAAAAGGTATACACTGGGGAAATGCCTACATTCAGGAAACAGTGAAGTAAACAAAAAGGAAAAAAAAAAAAGCCAAATTTGGAAGAATCCAAAAAAGTAAAAGAACCAGAAAATACAGTGTTAGAGAAGCCCAGGAAGTTTCAAGAATATAGGAGCAATAAACAGACTAAAATGCTCAACATGAATAAGAATTTACAAAAGATCACTCAGTTTGATAGCTTCATTACCAGTGATCTTAGAGAGAGGAATTTCAATAGGATAAAAAGATGACTTTTACTATTATTGCACTTACCATAATCTGTTTTGTATTAAAGTTAGTTGACCATGATATATGTGAAGCAGGTATTATGTCTTATCTGCTTATCCCTCACGGTTCTTTGGACAAATAGAAGCTGCTCAATAAACAATTTACTGAATTAAAATCGATGAAATTGAATTGAATCTAACTAGATTACATTGCACTGCATTATATTACTCTGCCCTAAGGAGTGATGATGAAGAGTAAGAAAGGAAGGCAACAAATATTAAGTGATTGTTTTCAAATTTTGCAGGTAGTGATAATAAGACAAAGAAGATAGAAAAAGAAAGGTTAATAATAACTTTTTTGTTTACAGCCATAAGATATTTGCCATTAGTTCTAGGACGAGACTATCTCTGAAGAAGAAATTGAAGGCAAGAGATGGAAATATTGAGGGTACAAAGATACCAACGAGAGTGACCTAGGTGATGGTGATACATATGTAAAAACTCATCCAGTTGTACATTTAAGCCTTTCAGATTTGTATACTTTAAGTTATACATCAATAAAAATAAGTTCAAAATAATTAAAATTACCTCATGAGGGATTAGATTGAGGGTACAAGGAAAGATGGCCAAATTTCCTCCAAAATAGTCAGGAAGCTATTGTTCACCAAATCCCAGGGCTATACTTCTTACAAAGCAGTCATTTTAAAAATAAGTTAAAATACTATAAATATGAATCTTTTATTCTATAACTGAATGAAGACCATACCACAGCTTATGCTTTTTTTCTGCATATAGTGCCATCCTTCTATCTGGATGGACTCAGTGACTACTACTACATAAGGAGCACACACAGGCCTCAGGCACCTGCCATCTCTCTCCCAAGTCAAGAAACTATTTAGTACTGTGTTGTGGCTGTAGCATTACATTAGATGCTGAATAAATACTTTAGATAATGGATATATCTAGGCCAAAGTGAGATAGAAACCAGTGTTTACTGGAGGATTCCTTGGAACACTTGGTCTACAAGATACCCTGAAAAAATATTCCACAATCAAACAAGTCTGGGAAATGCTACATATCATAACCTTCTCTAGGCGATTTTATAATATTAATTAGCATGTTAAAGGCTATAAGAAATCATGCAGTAAAGATACCTTTTTAGCTTTATTCAGTCTAGCATTTTCCCAAACTTATTTGACTGTGAGAGCTTTATTTTCCTACATAACATTCTTTAGATCCTATACAACAAATTTTCAACAGAATACACTTTGAGAAATGCTAATTTAGACAATTCCGTAGATGACAACTCCACAGAAAATACCTAAGTGATGGATACTTGAGATCCATCTCTGTCCCATGAGAATGATGTTATAGATGACAACTATAACATTATCCGCAAACATCTCTTGGTGCTATTTTTAGGGACTTAAGAGATATTGAAATGAATAGACTACTAGTCTAACTCATGAAAATATTTATTATAGTTTTAAGAAAGAACCTACAGAAGGAGATTAGAAAAGAGAATCAGAGATGGTAAAAGATCTGAAAAGAGAGGCTTATAAGAAGATACTAAAAGAGTTAAAATGGATAGTATATAAAATAACTACATTTAATTATATGTTTTCTTGTGGGTAGCCATCTTATCACCTGAGATCAGAACAAGAATTGGTCTTAAACTTCAGAACATAAGATTAAAATTAGATACAAGAAAAAACCCCTCCTTACTGAAAAGGGTATAAAAATATTGGGAAAACTGATAATGAAGAGACAAAACCTTTCTATATTTCAGTCTGAGAGAGATTCTTATTTATCATGGATTACACAAGTATATTCTTGCTTGGAAGCAAGAGGCTTGAAGTGATAGTCTGCACGTTTAATATGTGAAGCTTCTTGGAAATGTGACCTCCCATCATCCTTACTTGAATTTTCCCAACCATGAGTCAGCAATGGCTGCTCCCAGGATGGGAGTGAAGTAACAGAGGCTGCTGAAGGCATGGTACACAGATGTGGAAGTGTTTTCACTCCAATGCAGGAAATACAGGAAATACAGGGTCAGCACAGCTAAAGCAAAAAAAGAGAGACAAAACAATGTAGATGCATTAAAATGATTTATGGAGTAAAAGAGCATTTGATAGGGTCTTTGCAGGTTATCTAGATCTTCAGCACTCCTATCAGTAGTAACTTCTGAGCAGCAGAAGTAGGGTCCCTCGGAGTTTTGAGGGTGAAAGAGGCTATGCTTAGTGTGTGTGTGTTAGTTACTCAGTCATGTCCAACTCTTTGTGACCCCATGGACTGAAGCCCATGAAGCTTCTCTGTCCATGGAATTCTCCAGGCAAGAATATTGGAATGGGTTGCCATTTCCTTCTCCAGCGTATCTTCCTGACCCAGGGATTGCACTATGGTCTCTGCATTGCAGGCAGATGCTTTATGGACTGAGCCACTGCAATATTCCTCCCTTCAGTCATCATGCACATAGCATCATTTAGGTCAATCTGAAAGATAACATGGCCTAATGTTATCTTTATCTAATATCTAATATTCCTTCCTTCTCCTTCCCAGCAGCAGTATAATCCATAGACCTAAGGAACAAAAATTAAGAATGGAATGATGATAATGAGTTTCTCTACTTATGTACTCATAGGCTGTGTTCTGGTTTCCACTACTCCTTTCTATTCTTTTCCTGTATGAGTTAGAAGGTGAAATCCCACCAGGCATTTTTTGGAAGTCTTCGCCAAAGGAAAGGACCAGCTAGATGAAGGTAAAATGTAGATAAGCGAAATAAATGCGTATAAGACAGATTGTTACAAACATGGGGTGAGAATGAGTGGAGAAAAGTAGGACTTAGAGACACAAAATTACCTCTCATGCCATAATAGGAAAAGCGCTCACAGAATTCATTCACCACAATGAAGACAATACTCAGTGGATAGTTGGAGCCACAGATTTTCTAGGAAACAAAAAGACACTGGTTCAACCACGAACAATATATCCATATTTAGACCATTATATTATACTGTTTCACAACAGAAAAAAATTTATGTCACCATGATAGATCATGCGAAGCAATGGTCCCTACTCTTCATGAAACAGCCAGTATCCTACTAAAAGTGCTTGCATTTTCTGGAGTTGAGCTGGAGGAGCTGCTTGTATATTTTTGAGATTTATCCTTTGTCTGTTGCTTCGTTTGCTATTATTTTCTCCCAATCTGAGGGCTGTCTTTTCACTAAACCACTGCAATGATGTAAAGTAATTAGCCTCCAACTAATAAAAATAAATGAAAAAAATAAATAAATAAAAGTGCTTGCATTGCTGATTTAGCAATCAAAGAAGCTATTCTAAATATTCCTTTGTCCCTCAAACATTTAATATGGAGCTGCTCAGGCATTTCTTGATATAGACACTAGGACCTGTTTATCTTCCCACAGGTACTAAATGGAAAGCCTGGGGCATCGGGCAAGAGAATAATCATCCTTATTTCTAGGAACATAACAAAGAGTTGGCCTCTGGAACACTTTATGTCCAGGTAGTTACAGTCAAATGTCAGTACCCTGCTTAGCTCTACAGTGTGGATTAACCTTTCTGTCCCCACTTGCCCCATTCACTGTGCTGGGAGGAATCCTAGCAATATGAAGGCTTCCTGCCAGGAACAGAGCCCAATACAGATTGTTAAAGATTAAGATGATTGATCACCTTAACCTTTGGCAGAGATTTCTTAAACCTTCTCAAATTAAATGTCCATTTGTTCTATGAAACAGATTCTATAATATTTTCATGCTAATCCTTTTTGGCATTAAAAGGACTATGCTATTTCATGCACTGTATCAGTCAGAATAAAAGGAATATCATGTTTTACTTCTAATCCCTCTCATTACAATAGCCCAACCAACATGAGAAGGGGATGGAGATACGTGGCCTTGGTTCAATCAAATCATGAGATTTTTTTATTACCTTTCCTTATTCATAAGATATACATGCATTTTTGTAAGTAGCCTCAAATTATTTGGGACCAGAAGATATACAACTAAAGAAATGATTGATAAATTAATGTGTTCATTTTTTTATCCACATAGATATATATGGATATACATAAACAACCCTCCAAAGTATTAATATGTATTAATGTATGATTAAAAAAAAAAACTTCTTAAAAGACACAGTGAATAGTATTCTTACCTTCCCAGCTCACAGCTTGAGAATTATATAGCTTGAAGTTTGGTTAACATGGCTTCTACTAGCTATGTAACACTGTCACAGACTGTGCTAACATACTGGTCCAGGCCATGTCACTAAACCTGGCTTTATACTTCAGTTTTGTTATTCCAAAGAAACTACCCACCTCTAGAATACTGCTACTTCTTTGCTTGTAAGAATTAAGTAAATACTGGCTAGTATTACTATACCCTCTCTACTTATAGGATTTTGATATGAGGATTAAAAAAGAATTGGGAAATGTTTTAACAAGTATTAATATATAAAGTAAAACATTATTACTTCCCTGTTTCTCTGTCCTTTCGCCCACTGTAAACTGAAACACAATAACAGAGACTAAATCTATTCTGAAACTTCTCTTGGTGTCCAGCATAGATTCTGTGTACAGGGGAAACTAAAGGCTGAAGTTTTGGAGGGTTTTTTGGTAAAGAAAGAACAATCACACACAGTTCTCCAGAAAGGAGTACTTGCCAAGTTTCCCTGGACATGCAAAGTGCTTTTTTTTCCACCCCAGAGAGATTCAGAATATACAATGAAATACAGCCAAGTCCTGGATACCCACTCTTCCTCTCCTAAGTTGAAAGAAACTCCTGTTTAGATCTGGTTTATAGGTTCATTCTAACTCCAAGAGAGAATAGTTTTTAATACTCTAATACAGCTCAGCCTGAAGCTCCAGGGGCCAAGGATGAGAACCAACAGAGAAAGTCTGTTCCTGTCAGAGACAGAGATGAATCCCAGGACTCACCGGAGATGACTGCTTTGGAAAGCTGTGGGGTCGAGGTGGTACCTCTTCAGTAGAGACAGGTAAAAAAAGAGTTTCCTTGGAATCATTTTTCTGGAAGGGATTCATGGCTGGCTCCTGTCTCTCTCTTCAAGCATTTGGCTTTGGTACGCAGTTGGGACAGCTGCCAGGCTACTGTGAAAAGGGTGACTGGGAGGGGAAGAAGGGGTGGCTTTAGCAACTAGTTTTAACCCTGTGGGTGTCGGGATGAAGCAGCTTCCTGCGAAGCAGAAAGCTATATGAAAAAAAAAAAAAACTATTGGGTCTCAGACACTAGTTTAAAAGAATGTTTATGTAAAAGGTAAAGCAGGGGGAAGTGAGATACTGTAAAATGCTGGAGAACTGCACATGAGTGAAAAGTAGTTAGAAATATAATGCCTAGAACATAGCCTGGAGCACAGATTTAAACACTGATTTCAGGATAATAATAGCTGCCATTTATCACACACCCATTGTGTGTGTATATATATATGTGTGTGTGTGTGTATGTGTATACACACATATATTATCTTCATGTTCTTATTTTTACTACCATCCTCACTTTACAGGAACTAATATCTCAAGAGATTGCAATTTTTCCAAAGTCATGTGGCCATCAAGTGGCAGATCTGGAATTTTCACTTTGCTATTATGGATAGATTAGTATCAGTAATGCCTATGGCTATTAGTTAGGAATGGAAGCTATGGAAATAGAAACATAGGAATGTAGGGGAATTGAAATGCATTGAAAAGGGAAAGTTATCTCCAAAGCGAATTTGGAGAGATACAAAAAAATGTTAATTTTTGGTTTTCAACATAGTAAAGTTCAACTGGAAATGTCTTATAAGCAATTAAAGAGGTGGAGCTAAAGAAAACAAAAGGAAAAGTTCAGTGATCTACATTTGGGAATAATTCTTATTTTAAAATTCATTCTCTATGTTGTCACTTTCTTACTTCAAGATGAACCTAGCATTTCATTTGTAAATAAAATTTGATTTGTGTAAAAATTATGAACCAGTTATTTTCTAGGTACTATTACAAACACCATTTTTCTTAATATTTAGTGAATGGACTTCCAAATGACTCCAGAATACATTTAGTTCTTATCAGAGGAGGAACAGGATCAGACATTGCTATTATGGATAGATTAGTATCAGTAATGCCTATGGCTATTAGTTAGGAATGGAAGCTATGGAAATAGAAACATAGGAATGTAGGGGAATTGAAATGCATTGAAAAGGGAAAGTTATCTCCAAAGCGAATTTGGAGAGATACAAAAAAATGTTAATTTTTGGTTTTCAACATAGTAAAGTTCAACTGGAAATGTCTTATAAGCAATTAAAGAGGTGGAGCTAAAGAAAACAAAAGGAAAAGTTCAGTGATCTACATTTGGGAATAATTCTTATTTTAAAATTCATTCTCTATGTTGTCACTTTCTTACTTCAAGATGAACCTAGCATTTCATTTGTAAATAAAATTTGATTTGTGTAAAAATTACGAACCAGTTATTTTCTAGGTACTATTACAAACACCATTTTTCTTAATATTTAGTGAATGGACTTCCAAATGACTCCAGAATACATTTAGTTCTTATCAGAGGAGGAACAGGATCAGACATGACTGTTGCTGCTGCTGCTGCTGCTAAGTTGCTTCAGTCGTGTCCAACTCTGTGCAACCTCATAGACGGCAGCCCACCAGGCTCCCGTGTCCCTGGGATTCTCCAGGCAAGAACACTGGAGTGGGCTGCCATTTCCTTCTCCAATGTGTGAAAGTGAAAAGTGAAAGTGAAGTTGCTCAACTGTAGCGACCCCATGGACTGCAGCCCACCAGGCTCCTCCATCCATGGGATTTTCTAGGCAAGAGTACTGGAGTCGGGTGCCATTGCCTTCTCCGGACATGACTATTAAATAATTATTATTTTTGCAAAGTCAAAGAGGTAAAAGAAAAAAACAGTATGGTGCCCATTTAGTTGTCAGTCAAAAGGAAAAGGAAAAGAATGGCTAGAGAGAAATAAGAAAAATAAGGATTAAACCAAAAAAGAAGTCAGGAAATAGGAGAATGCATTATTTTATTTTAGAATATGAGAACCTATGATTCTATCCCTCATAAAATTCTTACATTACCTACTTGAGTAATTTATTGACAAGTAAGATCAGGATAAACTCTACTCTTTCCTCCCTAAACTATCTCAGACTTTGACCATGTTTTTTCTCAGCTTCTGTTACACTCCTCATCCTGTTTCTCTCCTGTCAACCTTTACCCAAAGAAGAGTCCAGCTTCATTTCTGCTTGTGACAGTAATGATTAAGCTGTAGTTATTCTTTCAGGAAGTACTGCCCTTTCTGACCTAGTTTGGTTAATGACTCTGGATACAAAACAAATGAACAGTCAGAAGTTACTAGTCAAGTTAACTACTAGAGGCATAGATGCCTTTAAGATCTAATTATATCAATAGCTCCTCCTGCTCTGGCCTTGTACCTCTGAAATAGCATTTGGTATAGCAGAGCAGATGGAATAGCACCTGTATGCAAGGCACCAACTCATTCGTGCTCATAGGTGCCCTAAATACCAAACTTTAGCGTATTGGCATTGGTTCTCTGATACTTGTTTGCTTAGGTGAAATTTTTCATTGATTATGGCAATACAATGCTAAGCAGTCATAGAATCAAATAATATCAAAGATGGAAGGAATCCTAATCTTGTCATATGTAAACTAAACTTCCCTGATGATAAAAATCACTTACGGATATTTATATGTATTTATATTGGTACATGTACTTATGTACCAATATAAATATTTCCAGGGTGATACACACACACACACACACACACACACACACACACAGGTCTANCCAATATAAATATTTTCAGGGTGATACACACACACACACACACACACACACACACACACACACAGGTCTAAAGAGGTAGCTAAGAATTTGTATTTTTAACAAGAATCTCTGGTAATTCTTATATTAGGGATTTTGTGAATACTGAATTGAAATCCCTCTGCTAATCTAGCCTGAAGAATATTACAGACAAGCTCAGACTAGAATCCCAGACTCTAAGACCTATTCTAGAGCATTTTCAATTTTACCAAGATGCTTCTTATACAGCATCATTTTTGCTAAGTTGAAATCAGAAGGACAAAGGGGAAAAAAAATCAAAGAAAAAAGCAATTCATGAACAGAAATGAGTACAAACTCTTCAGAGATAAAAAAAGAATAATAGAGAAAAATAGCCTAAGATATAAGAGTAAAAATATTTGTGATTCAATGATTATGACAGGAGAGAATGATATTTTATAGTCATGTACAGAAAGGAGGCTGAAAGTCTCAAACGATAGATACTTATATAGTCAGAGAGAAGAAGCAAATATGAAATTAAAAGAGGATGTGTTTAGCAAACTATGAATACAAAATCATCACATAAAAAGATTGTATTTAAATATCAGCAAAAACAAATAGAAAAGGTAATTTAAAAATTATACCAGCTCTAATAGCATAAAACATACCTAGGAATAAATCTATTAAAAGATGTTTAAGACATGAATACATGATACAATTAAAAAATAAGTTAAAAAAGACATCAGTATTAAACACTCTAAAAAATTATAGAAAGAAATTAAAGACCTAAATAAATGGAGAGACATATCTTGCTCATGATTTGGAAGACTCAGTAAGATGTCAGCAATCCCCAAATCAATCTATAGTTGCAACAAAAAAATCCAACAGGTTTTGTGAATGTAGAAAATCACAGGTTGATTTTTAAAATTCATATGGAGATGCAGAAACCTAAGAACAGGAAAGGCAATCTTGAAGAACAATAATGAAGGATTTGCGCTACCCAGTAGGAGATCTATTATAAAGCTATAGTAATTATAACAGAGTGGAAATGACACAAGGATAGATAAGGCAACCAATGCAACAGAACAGAATTCAGAAAAAGACCCACACACATACTTTGGCATTATTTAGGCCAAACAAGACACAGCAGTGCAATGGGACAAATAACTGTTTTCAATTAAAAAAAATACCATCTGGATACTCATATGGAAAAAAGTGTTTATCTTACATCATGCATAAAAACCATAAAAGAAAATAATATATAGATTACATTAATATTCAGTTCAATTTGGTCACTCAGCCATGTCCAGCTATTTGTGACCCCATGGACTATAGCACGCCAGTTTTCCCTGTCCATCACCAACTCCCAGAGCTTGCTCCGACTCATGTCCATCGAGTCGGTAATGCCGAGCCAACAGGGAATGTCATTCTCTGTCATCCCCTTATCGCCTGTGTTCAATCTTTCCCAGCATCAGTGTCTTTTCAAATGAGTCATTTCTTTGCATCAGGTGGCCAAGGTATTGGAGCTTCAACTTCAGCATCGGTCCTTCCAATGAACACTCAGGACTGATCTCCTCTAGGACTGACAGGTTGGATCTCCTTTCAGTCCAAGGGACTCAAGAGTCTTCTCCAACACCACAGTTCAAAAGCATCAATTCTTCGGTGCTCAGCTTTCCTTATGGTCCAACTCTCACATACATGACTACTGGAAAAACCATAGCTTTGACTAGATGGACCTTTGTCAGCAAAATAATGTCTGCTTTTTAATACATTGCCTAGGTTGGTCATATAGAGAGATTAGATTAATTCTACATAGATTACAGATCTGTTAAAGTTTAAAAAATATAGCTTTTAGAGGAAAATGTGAGAGAATATCTTTATGACTGATTAAGCAAAGATTTCATTTTTTAGGCTAAGATTTTTAAAAAGAAGACATATAGCAACCATAAGCAATTAATATATGGTATAGCATTAAAATTAATAACTTTTGTTCACCAAAATATACCATTAAGAGTAAAAAAGACAACTCACAAATTGATAGAAAACAGCCATACTACATATATTGGCAAAGGACTTGTGTCCAAACTACATAAATCCCTTCAAAAATCAATGACAAAAGACTTATATTCAGATTGTAAGTCTTTTGCAATATAAATAATAATTCATTAACAACCTTGCAAATTAGTCAAATGTATCTGTAGAATGAATTTCTGGAAGTAACATTTCTGTGACAAAAAGTGTTTTATAATTTTTAGAACTGCCGATTCATTTCCTGTTTTCTATTGAGTTG